TGCCTTTAGTAGGAAGATCTATAATACTTCCTAATAGGTTCGTAGCGTCGAGTGCGTAGTGCTACTCCGAAAAGCTACTATTATTCTATTAGCCTTGCTTCTCTAGTTACTTTCTAGGTTTAATAACATAGATTTATCTTACGCGACTAAACGAAGTAGGGTTAGGTTAGGGTAGAGGAGAGGACAAAAGGATTCTACTACGATACAGCGAGAGGATTAGACCTTTTAGGTCGTAGATAATTAAGCCTACTAGTCCTAAAGCGGCCCGAATCTATTCTGACTTAATTAAGTTTAGTACTCTGCTAGCGGTAATAGAACACTTTAATATAGGGTAGACACAGCATTAAGTTCGTCTATAGTACTAAAGCCTAGTTACTATATTATAATTATAAGGACTAGCGACATCTGTTGCTCTCGTACCGCTCTTTCTAACAGAGGACGAGTTTATTAATATAGGGCAATGCGATAGCTATAACTGCGACTATAAATACCTCCTCRCCCTCCTTACTAGGCTTACCGGTCTGTTTACTTACTACCTCGATATAGAACTAGCTATTATTCTTCTATGCTCTATCTTTTTAGCTCTCTTTAATATTAAGTCGTACGGTTAATAGCACTCTTAGCGAATCCGTAAGACGAAGATAATTTCTACCCCGCTACCGAGATAGGTATCTCGCCTCTACGACGCGACTATAGTATACAATTTAGTAATTATGCATAAACACGGCTTATATATAAGCGCCGAGCTTACTAGAAATAGGTCTGTATAGCGTTTATTATTCTTAGCCCGCTCTTAGAGGATGTCTTTAGAGAAATTTCCACCTAACGGTTTACTACGCGCCTTAGTCTCTTCGTCGGCTTGCTGTTTAAGCAGATATCTATACTATGCGGCAATATTAAGCTTTACTATAACGGGATATCTACTAAATAGTAGGGACTTGTACTAGGTCTTGTCGTAGCTACCGAGACGATATTAATCGCCTATATTACCCTAACTATACGCTCCGAGGCAAGTTAGTCGAGGAAACCTATTTTGTCCGGGGCTAATAGTTTTATAGAAGAGCCTCGAGGGATTAGCTCGCTTCCTTCCGCCTTCTCTAGCGACTAYRATCGAAGTTGCTATTAYRGTGCCTTTCTTATTTCTCCTRCTATACGAGAGCCCGATAAGGTCGGTCGTRTATYRGGTAACTATAATAACGGGTCTAGCTTACTATCTGCTACTAATCGTCCCCTTATAGCTATAGAGCGTRTACTATAAGCGAAGAATAGTAGYAATTRTAATGYAGCTTCTCTAAGCACTTATTTATRCATTCCCGATCCGATATTAGCCGCTAGCGTGYATTTATCGTGTAATAAAGCAAAGTTCTRTTAYACTTCTAAGTAGTTTAGAAAGGTTAGGCGAGTCCCTATCGCACGGTATAATRTCTAAGGACCTAACGTTAGTATAATTCGACTAACTATTACCTACTCTRGATTAGTATCGAAACACATCTCTAACGCTCTAATRCTATACTTAAGYAGGATAATATCGAAAATGCCTAGCCCYATTCGTAGCGATCGACTTTAAAGACTAGYAAAGGTGTAAAGGYAGTRTAATTTRCATAAACATRTATACGCTCGGYAAGTTATTAYAATTACTACATTTAACGTAAGATCWTGCTCTRTAGGAGAATAGGAGTACTTTTATAAGTGTGCTATRTGYAACATTTAGTAAATGCATTAGGCGAGTAGTATACCTATAAGCAATTTAGAGTAGGTGTTTAACTAAACATTAACTAAGTATATATAACGAAGTTCTCCCTCTATCGYAAAGCTATTAAYAAGCTCTTATTAAACGTAATAGAGACTTCCGGTAAATACTCYACGTTAGYAAGCCGTTATCTAAGGCGTTGTCTAACGTCGCATTAACAGTAAGTCTTCTAATTAATTAAGAGATCTGCTAACTAAAAGATAAATCAAAACCTTTACTAACTRTACGAYAGAAATGTRTATGTAGAGRAACGTGCTCTACGAGGGCCGGCTACGCGGGYAGCCGTRCTAAACAACATTACGAATAATTCGCTTTAYAAATTRCGGCTAGAGCTRTGCACATAATGYAGCCGGCGTTACCTAGAGYAAYAGTAGAGACGGCAAATRTGCGAGTTRCTAGTATCTAAYACTAGAAAGTAAATAACTTTTAGATAATCCGKRGCTTTAGGCAAGGCTACTAGYAGGGTTAAGCAGTAAGGGACCTTAGATTTATACGGGGTAGCAATTTTTAGTTATTACCGTTATAACCTTCGCTTTCCTCTCTTTAGCATTCCTTATCTTCCTAATCYACTCCTTAGYAYAAAGGCACTTRCTATTAAAGTCTAGATAATRTCTAAGCGAAGTAATATTAAGGTAGGTCTCTAAGCGGYAGGTAGTATTCTTRTTAGCACTCCTACTAACAAATTTYAAGGCACATCTTAGTCTCTAAYAGCTAACTCGCGTTATAGTCCTAGTRCGAGGAYATAGTAAATACATTTCGGAGCCTGCCCTAGTTATTATTAGAYATGTCCTTTCGATACTCGGCATTCCTAGTATAGAGACTTTGTACCTTRCGTATAAAGACTAGGGYAGAACTATCTATTTCGTCTTCGATRTATTCTACGCCTCTTACGACTTCGATACCGCTTATRTTATACATAATATGCCTATTATCGTAGTTTTATTAGGGAGGACTAAGGGAAGGCGGTTCGCTTAGCCTTCGCTAAAAGAACAAGTTAATAAGGACATTGCTTAGATCTATTATATTAATAGRTRGGAAAARCGACCCCCTTTCTACGCTACTTATRCGCGGGGGGCGGTCCTAATCTATAAYAATCCGCGTATTACGAAGAYRTTRCCGGCTATCGAGGACGAAGSCGAYATTAGATTAGAGTATTAAGTAATTATGCCTACGCTTAGCTTAAGTAYAGGCGTTCGAGCTTATCTAGAACAGATTAAAAAATRTACGAYATGTTTTATTACTAGCTCGCCCGTAGAGGAGATTTRTAAGAGCTTTTATACCTAACGCTACGCTTCGGGCAGCTCGGGGAGTTCGGGTAGCTCGAGTAGCCGCTATACTAACACCTTAGACGYATAGCTTAGTTAYAGATCGAAGGCTATTACCGGCAACGCCTRTCTTAATACCGCCGCCTTCCGGAGTTTCGTTAATAAATGCTATCTAATCGTCTCCTACTATRTTAAGTAGCGTAGCTCGATAGTCCTATGTCCTTTACGCTACCTAAGTTAGTAATAGGTAAATTAATTCTCTTCTCGAGCGCATCCTCTAGCCTAATATAAGGCTRTTACTAGTATCTCGCTACTATACTATRCTACGGYATAGACCCTAGTAACTAGTCTTAYAACTATAGACTACTATCTAATTATTCCGCTRTTACCTRCCTAGGTTAACCGGTTAGGCAGCTATAGTATTTCTAATAGCAAGATAAAAACGCGGGTRGCCGTATAGATCTATAACCGATCGGAACCGGTATRTTTAAATRTCTAGTTACGAGGACGGCGGGGAGCGATTATATAAGGGAAGCGCCGTAAGGCTACTAGACGCTCGCGCCGCATTAGAGGAGAGGYAGGGCTATAACCGTCCGTCTAGTATAAGGCTAGCGATTACAACCTCGGCCTAATATCCCGAAAGCTCCCTAAGGTACCGCTAGACGACTAGCTATATAAAAACGCATTATAAGGCACCGGTAGGTTAAGGATTTGTTTAGAGGCGAAGCCCTTCTATACTATCGCGCGCCTTCTCTTAACTATTACTATGCCGGCCTTTAGTTAAACACGGTAGTAGCTAAGTAGTTAAGATGCACACGTCTAAAGTAGATAGTATCGTCGACATACGTCGATCGAAACGGAGCCTAGGCGCCGGTAACTTTACGGGTGTCCGTAGAGGAGTTCTATATCCTATATTACTAGCGGTCGAACGGCCTAATCTTAAAGAGGCATAAGTAGTATACGATCGTTAAGCCCTACCCCTCCTCGTATTAGTATCGGTAGCGGTATTAGTATTTCGCCCGTCTAGAATTCGACTACTATACTACTACCTAGCGCTACTCGACGTAGTAGGAGGGTAACACCTAATCGATACTAGTAATAGTTATATTAGTATCCGCGATCTTTAGCCTAGGCTTAACTATCGTCTAATCGTTTTGCTGTTATTATATATATAGGAAATAAGCGTAAATTGCCCTACTTTATCGTCGATTCGCTAGTCTAGTAGCTAGCCTCTCCTACGTATATCGTCGGAACTATAATCTCCGGACGGGCTCGGCGAGAGGGGTTACGAGATTATATACTAGAAGTCTCGGCGTAGTATGTATTTTCGACTGTTTAAGCGAAGGGTATGTTTTAGGAGAGGGTACGCGCACGCCGAGGGCAGGTGGAATTATAGGTGAAATAATAGTAAGGCGCGCACATTCGCGACAGTTAAGAATAATAGGTGCCGTAGCGGGCTTACGGCGCGGCAGATGGTAGCGGCGAGCGGTTAAAGCAGATATCGTGTGGTATTTCGAAGGTATGGAGTGCGTGTCGGTAGGTGTCGATGTAATGCGCTAAGCCTGATACGGGCTTGCCTCGTCCGTAGACTACGGAGTAGAGGACCGCCTACAACTTCATCAGTGGCTGTAACCGAAACTTGGACTTGACCATGAGACGTATACCGTACCACTCGCACAAAGTTATCTTGTGCTCACGACCGATAGCTTGTGAAATCAACGAGTTTTGGATGTCATGAACAATTCTCATTTGACAATCATCTCATCTCATATCATGCATGCATCATAATTTATACTCGTCAGCAAACCGCATATTGTCGTGGGGTCGTCGTTGTGAATGACATTTCCCATGAATTTCGCCCGACGCCGTATCCAAATGCATTTCATCCAAAAACGCCCAACTCCTTCTTCTTCCAAATGGAGACCCAGCTCAATCCATATTCTATACTTACCCCTCTATGCCCCCCCGAAGCTCTCCCTGCTCGTTCAAATCGAGCTCGCTCCACCCAATGCTGCAGAGTAAGCAAGATACCACGTCAAGCTTGCTCCGCCATCCAGGAAGTCGACATTGAAAGCAGGGTCGCTGAAAAACTGATAGCTAGCAGCTGGATTGGAGATGGCGTAGTTGGCCATCAGAATGCCTCTCCAGCCACCTTCGACCGTATCGATGTAACTGCCGTTTGAGAAGTATGCCTCCCATTCTTCCTGAACAAACGTTGGGGTTCGAATGTAGCTGCTAAAGGGCATCAACGGAATCATATGAATTCCCTGAATGTACTCCGGCTTGCTTCCAAAGTACGTCGTGTGGTCTATCTTGTTCTCGAACAGAATTCCAGCCACTTTGTTGCCGATGAACTGGGCCGGAAGGACGGTGTTGGCGTCCTCATAGAGGTAGTAGTCTTGGAAGCTCCTCGCCTGAATGGCCAGCATCAAGTTACCACGTGCTTCCATGTTCTTGTCGTTGATGACCTGTCCCCACATCTTCAGTGCGTAGCTTGCCATGTTATCTTCGCTGGAGCTTTCTTGGTTTTTTCCATCGTCTGATTCGAAGAGACCACTAGCCCAGGAATGGCCATGATACCAATCGAAGTTCCGAGAAAAGGGATAGTAAGGATCATCTTTGATGGGATTGGCAAAGTCGCGCACCAGCATATTGACCCATGCGACGTTGGCATCAGTGAGCCAGTCACTGCTGAAATAGCCGATAACTGCCGCGGCGTAGACAAAATAGCCGAAATGGAAGTGGTGGTCGTTGTAATAGGTGTTGCCAAAGTCGTCCAGAGGTTGTCCAGTGTATGCTGCGGAGCTGACGACTCCTCCCCAAGCGCTCTCATATGTCAATGGAAATTTCATATTGTTGTCGACATGCAAGGCGAACGCTTGCTGAAGAACCTGCAAGCCGGAAAGAGCCAACGTTTGATTCCCAGCGAGGTCGTGAAGAGTGTATACAATGGCTGCAAACTTTGCCAAAGCCTTGCCGTCATAGTACATGCTTCCCACATTCGTCTGTTCGGCAACATCTTGCTGCAGCTCAGCAAGACCGGCATTATAGACGGCCTCGGCGGCGATGTTGGAGACTGCCTTGACGCTACCCAGAGTCGGCGAGTACGGAGCAAAAGCCATGTCGATGGGAAGGGACTTCTCAACCAAGGTCCAGCTCGTTCCCCGTATGGCGGTAGCTAGGCCTTTGACAGGAGTCATCAATTGTAGGTCAGTCAACCCGGTCAAAGTGTCATTGCTGAAGGACTTCAGATGATGAGGTAGAGCGAAGAGCAGCAAAGACTGATTCGCGACACCCTCCTTTGACCAGTCGAAGGTATAGCTCCCCGTCGTGTTCTCTACAGTGCCGGATATGCTTGCTCCAGTGGTATAAGCGCCAGCAGCACCATCGTAGATGGACTCAGAATCTGGAGCTGTGCTGGTGTTTCCGGGCATTTTTGCAACCTGTATGAAACCGTTGAAGTCTTTGGGGCCCACCACAGTGCCATTTATCAGTGTGAATTTGTTGACTTTATCACGGTAATCAGGCGATAATTCAAAGTCTGGGGAGATGTAGACAAGCCAGGTGTAGCCATTTTGAAGAGTAGCACGATACTTGTAGGTGGTGTTCGCCACAACCTCTCCGACATACTCGATACTATCGAAACCAACACCTGTCTGCAACATTGGTGCTGCCCAATGATACACGCCTGTGATGAACGCAGATCCCTGGACCAACGGGAATGTGATTATTGGTGTCTGCCAGGTATGCGGAAACAAGTTCACGTTGATGCTGAATGCATCGACAGAGTCCGTAGTGAGTCCTGGGATGCCAATGGTGGTATTGGCCGTAGTGTTGGTGGTAACATTGGTGAGTTCGGCCGCGGACAGGATCATAGAATCCAGTCCGAGCGGGCTTGCGAAGTATGCGGAGTCTCCAGCATCTTTTCCTGCCTGGGGTGGTCCAAAAGTGAATTGGTTGAGCTCCGTGTGGGATACGACCAATCCCCAACTGCCTGCCTTTCCACCACCTCTCGCCCACTTGACTGAGTAGGGAAACGTATAGACGGGGGATGTTTGGTTTCCCATGAACAGGTTGGTGTAGAACCTATTTGTCTGTAGTTTCCGCGTCTGATTTTGTATCCCAATTCTGGGTACTGGATGATCTTCTCTCCGTGGGATCTGTGGCAACGGCGCTCCTGTTGCGATGGGCACAAATATTTCGCTTGCTGACAGCTTTGTGATGGCTGAAGTCGCAGTGGGCAAGCCATAGCTCGCAGGATCCACTAAGGGCAGGGTACTTGTGGCATTCGAAATCGATGCAAAGGGCATAGAAGTTACCTGAGCGGAGGTCTCGAGTGAGGTAGAGATACCCATGCTTGCGCTATATGAGACAAAGTCTGAGAGTGTGCCAGTCTGTACCTCGGACACGGAAAGGGACGTCAGAGGGCTGTCCGTGACGCTGGCGGGACTGGGAGGTGACTCAGACGAAAACGATTCAGTCCCAACAAGGGTGTCAAGTATCGTGGCCGTAGTTGAAGAGGCGTCCGAAACGTCAGCCGAGACTCCTGATATCTGACTTGTCGAGAGATCGCGTGCTGTCACGGATACGGTGGAGCTGGTAGTTGAGCATGAAGGCGACAGTGTAACGGTTCCGGGATATTTGGTAGCCTGAGGGAGTCCAGGATAGTATGGAGCTTGGACTTGCCCGTCTTCTATTTGATAGACCACATTGGACGTCTGAGGGGCCTTGACCTGTAATGCATGGGCTGCTGCTTGTATCTGGCCATCAGGGATTTGATAGACGACATTGCCTGTCTCGGCATCGTCGCTGTCGACTCCGGGTAGGTCTATGCACTTGGTAAGTTATTGCATCGATACATTGCTCTCGATCCCAACTGCTGACCTTGTAAAACGGGATGTGCCGCAGATGGTAGGACCTGAAAAACGATGGTGATCAGTGAGAGAACATGCGCTGCTCGGAAGCAACGAAGGGCCGATGTCATAACGAGTRCAATGATCTGTAAGTTAGTGCGTGCAACAAAAGTGAATGGACGATTTGAACAGTTGGGAAGGGAGCGTATCTGGTGATTTTGACTCTGCCGTGATTTCCTCCTATGCGTCCTTGTGATCCTGGATGAACCCTGGAGGATTCTGGTGGCCCTTTGATGCCTGCGCCAGCTGCGAACAGGCGTTCACCCAATTGCCCTTCTGTAATCACTCTCAAACAAGTGATGGAGATGGTGGTGCAGTCATGGAGAAAAGTGATCTGCTCGTGGTACAAAAGACAGGGGACAAATTTCGCGTTCAGGTACCAGGTTGTGGGAGCACGCGCGCTTGGTGGGATAGCTCTTTGATCGGATGTCCGGCAGCCTGGGTCATGGGGATGTGTCTTGTCTTGAGAATGACAGGCGTAACAATGTCATTCGTGGTGTAGCCGAGCATTGCACTCACCCAGGTAACGAAGGAGCACTGGATTGATGAAGCCGCCGAGGAATGTGCAGGTGCGCGGCAGTCGTCATGCTGGAATGAGTTTAACGTCGTTATGCTCGTCGTACAGGGTCTGCGGATATAGCTGTGCGAGGTGTAATCTGGCTACTATCTGGTCGAGATGGTGTGCTTTCGTCGGCGACCGCGCTTGCAAGAGCATGCTGGCTGCGCCGAAGCTGGGCGTGAGGGTTGCCATCATCCCTTTGCCACGTCCACCCATGCTCGTCTCGCTTGGCAAGGTCGCGAAGACTAGGTATTGCTCTGCTTCTTCAGCTCAAACCAAGCGTTCACTCGATGTACCCGCGCGCAATGTTGAATTGCGCGTCCGACGTTGCAAGATGGGATGAGACTGGAACAGCGGACGTTGCGGACGTTGCGGACCATTGTACTATTTCTGCTCAAGAGGCTTGTCTCTTGAGCAGATCTTGGTAGAGCAGGGCAGGGCATGCTGCGAGATCATCGATGCGATCGATATGCTGTGTACCTGTCGTCGGAGAGATTTCTCACCTTACGTCACGACATCAAAGGCGTCGATTGGCGATGTTCACATCATCTGGAATTCAACGTCCTGGGCTTGGGTCGCCACATCATCGCCCAGAGTGGCGCCCACAGCGTTCCGGGAGCCGACAGCGACGGAGAGGCATGTCGTACAGAAGAGCAGCTGWCCGGAGCGGGTGTGAGGTTGTGGTGCAGATGACGGGGACTTTGGACAGTCACACGGACGCCAAAGTCTGTTCCAGAAGTCAGCCAAAAGCCCTTCCTGGAAGAAGCTCCGCTCCGTTAAGGCTCCATTATCAACACCGGCAAGGGTCGAACCTGCCCTACGTCCGCCGGCGGACCCGCCGGACAAAGGATGAAGGGCATCGAGGCGAAGACGTGTTTGTTTTTCTTGATGCATGCCGCCGAGGTAGGCACAGCGACCACCTAACAAACAAACATGTACTTACGGCCCGGCYCGCAGTTTCCGACAGCTCGCAAAATTCCCGTTGACCGCGTGTCTGACGCGTCGGGATCAGCTTGGAAATAATAATCGCAACCTAGAGTTTGTGCAGCAGCAAGCCGAGTCAAATTTTCATCAAAGTGCATCATGAAATGCTCTGATGCTCGGAGAAGAGATCTTTCAAGACGAACTCTGCGATCCCAGCTTGGACGAACTCTGCGATCCCAGCTTGGGCCATTTCCGTCACAATGTCAAAGAGAACATGGAAGACGAAAAGAGACGCGTCGTAGAATCAGTCTGCCTATTTCACCACGCGATTGGAACAAGGGAATCCCGGGCGGCGGGCATAGGTTGCCTGGCATTGGCATGATCATCCCGCAAGAACGTCACTTCCGTCCTCCTCTTACCTCCCACCGCCCTTTCTCAGCATTCCGTCCCGACAACACCCACGATCATCGCTTCAATCTTGTACAACCCATCAGACGAAGCAGACGAGAGGTTCTCATCAGCATGCTCCATCAATCCTGACATTTGTTTGCCACTTTGACAGCACCAATCGCTCCCAATACACAATTATATCGCGCCATTGGAATCTGGCACACGTGCCACTGTCATCCATTCTTCAGGTTAGCTACCCGCGTCCTTTATCCTCCACGCAGTGCAAACATCCGAAGCATCAAAAGAATCACAAACAAGAACCAGCGAGCACGTGTTGAGCATCAGCAAACAACGCTATTTTTGGCCGATCACATCGACCTCACAAACACAAACCCACTGCTGTCACTACTACCACTACTTGCTGCATCTAACTCATCTGGACTCCAGAACGCATCACCATCAACTCAACGTGCACTCTCCACCCACACCTGGTAGAGTTCCAATCGTTGACCGAGTTGTGACCACTTCATTGTGTCACTGAGCCATTCATTGTTGGACATCTTTCGGTAAGTTCGGACCACTTTCTCCCACTGCAGCGTCTCTTTGCATCTGAAGTGGTTCTCAATGCTCGAGAGGACTCTGTGGGTTTTGGAAACGTCCGATGCAGGGAGAAACGCCGATTTGACTCATTGGCACACTTGCTAACAATTTTAACAGTAACACTCTCGAGTGATACCATCGTTATGTCAGACAACCCACGAGGCCGGGGCGGCGGTGGCCGCGGGCGTGGTGATTTCGGCGGCCGCGGCGGCGGCCGTGGCGGAGGAGACGGTGGCCGGGGTGGCCGGGGTGGTGGTGGGGATAGAGGCGGTGGTAGAGGCGGAGGCTATCAAGGCGGAGGGGATAGAGGCGGCGGTAGAGGCGGAGGCTATCAAGGCGGTGGGGACAGAGGCGGAGGTAGAGGCGGAGGCTATCAAGGCGGTGGAGATAGAGGCGGCGGTAGAGGTGGAGGCTATCAAGGCGGTGGAGGCCATGGAGGTCAACAACAGATGTCTTTCCGCGGAGGTCCACCACGTGGCGGGCGTGGCGGTGGAGGAGGGGGACGTGGCGGTGGTGGTGGAGGAGGAGGACCATCAGCACAAGGCGGCATTTACCTGTGAGTTCATCATGGTTCAAAGACATGCATATATGCTGACCACTTTCAAGCGCTGGAGAGCCAATACCTCCACCGGACGCCAACATAACTGCAGCGGAAGACGAACTGGTCAAACAGACTCGTGATCAGATGTTCAACGACTTTCCAGGTAAGTGCAGTTGAGGGCAAGCAAATCTCGAGGTCAGACCTAGAAGATCGTACAGCCGGGGAGGCCTCTGCGCGTTTATCAACAGAGAAGGTTCTTGGAGAGCGTCAAGCGCGCCCCTTTTGTCTAAAATTACTGACCCTTTGGCCCTCTTTCTTTAGGTCGGCGTGGCTACGGTACCAAAGGCAGACCCATCATCCTGCGCACCAATTACCTCGTCATGACCACAGCGTACGAGGAAAACAAGCCCGAGACGCCTCTTTATCGCTACGAGCTCGAAGTTGGACAGGAGATCTCTAACCCAAAGAAGCGCCGACTTTTCAAACAACTCATGCAGAATCCTTCCCTCGAGGGCATTCGTTGTGCAACCGACTTCGCGTCCATTCTCGTCACGACCAAGAAGCTTGATGAGGTCAAATTGAAGGCGGACTGGAAGAAAGTGACGCTTTCTACGGAGAACAGCTCTCAGCCGCCACCGCAACAGCAGGGTCAAGCCCCGGATTTCCTTCGCGAAGCTCGCGATCGTAACACCTTCGATGTTGCTGTTAAGTACCAAAACTCCTTCAATCTCAGCGAGATGATTAAATATCTTCGTAAGTGTCTCTGGACGTCTGTAAACCGAAACGGTCTCGGAGAGCGCCGAGCCAGTCTCATTCTACATTGCTAACCCTTTCTGCCCTTATCTTAGGCAGCAAATCTGCGGGAGCGACATACCAAGGTTCTGCAGATGTCATCCAGATGTTGAACATCATCCTCACAAAGCTGCCAAACGAGGACTCCATGGTCAAGAACGTTGGGCAGAATAAATTCTATCCCTTCGCAAACCACCCAGACAAGGAGGACTACAACCTTCAAGGCGGCTTGGAGGCCCTGCGTGGCTACTTCTCCTCCGTCCGTCCATCTGTCGGCCGCCTGTTGCTGAACTTGAACGTCACGGCAGGAGCATTCTTCAAGTCCATGCCTCTCCTTTCCCTGTTCAACGAGTTTCGTGGCAGCTTGGATCACTTCGAAGCTTTCATACGCATGCTCAAGGTTGAAGCAAGCTACATCAAAGACGGCCAACAGCAGCCTTTCATGACGAAGAAGAAGTCGATTGTGGGATTTGCGAAGACTGCTTCCAAGAAGGTCGTGGTGAAGCGATTCGGCAACGCTCGCGAAGTCAAGTTCAGCATTGTCGACCGGAGCAAGCCAAAATCCAACCCCAAGGAGACCACAGTCGCGGACTATTTCAAGACTCAGCACGGAATCACTTTGAAGCATCCTGACCGCCCCGTCCTCAACGTTGGAACGCGCGACGACCCACAGTATCTACCTATGGAGCTTTGTCACGTCCCTGCTGGTCAACCCTACCGCCGCTTGCTAACTGGACAACAAACGTCCGAGATGCTCAAGTTCGCTGCACGCTTCCCCAACTTGAACGGGATGTCCATTGCAGGAACGGCACAGAAGCCAGGTCCTGGCCTGAGGCTCCTCCGACTGGCCGATGATCCGGGTAAGTCGAACCCGCAGGATCAGTCAATTACGCCTTTTGGAATCTCCGTGGGCACGTCGATGATCACAGTGCCCGGCAGGATCCTGGCTGCCCCTCAGCTCAAGTACGGCCAAAAGACCGTTAATCCTCGAGCTGGATCCTGGAACTGCGCCGATCAGAAATTCATTAGGCCTGGTAAATTCAGCAAATGGCAAGTTCTTATCATCAACCGTAAGGGTGACCGAGGCAACGCTTTGGCTGAAGGTGGATATAATGACATGGCCACTCCACCTCAGCTGGTCGACAATTTCACCAAGTTCCTGAAAGATTACGGCATCCAGATGGGCACGAGAGACCCAACAAACACGATTCTGCTGGATCCTCTCACTGTCCAGAACCGTGAGTTCAACGACGGGAAGCTCAAGGATGAGTTCCTCAAAGCCGAGAAAAACAGAGTTGACATCCTGCTGGTCATCATACCTGAAGTTGATAAGTGGCTTTACGCCCGCATCAAGTTCCATGGTGATGTATCTTATGGCATCGGCACTATCTGCTCAGTTGGATCAAAGATTCAAAAGGTCAATGGCCAGGGCATGTACTTTGGAAACCTCGCCCTCAAATTCAACCTGAAAGGCGGCGGTATCTCCCACAGCGTTGCCAACACCGTCGCGCCTCCCATCGACAACAATACCATGATTGTTGGTATTGATGTTACTCATCCATCACCCGGAAGCGCAAAGGGCGCTCCCAGCATTGCATGCCTCGTAGCCTCTGTGGATCCGCAAATGTTCCAGTGGCCCGGAAGCATTCGCACGCAAACGGGCAAGAAGGAAATGGTCGAACCATTGCAGGCGATGATGATCGAGCGTCTGAAGCTTTGGCAGAAGCGGAACCAGCGTCTCCCGACAAAGATCGTGGTCTACCGCGATGGAGTATCCGAAGGCCAGTACCAGCTTGTGTTGGCCACAGAGCTTCCATGCTTCGAGAAAGCGTTCGATCAGCTCTACGGCGCAAAGGCGAAGCACCCCAAGATCGCCATTATTAWCGTCGGCAAGCGTCACCACACTCGGTTTTACCCGACTAAGCCAGAGGACGCTGATTACAACCCTCAACGCGACAAGGGCTCGTGGAACCCAGTTCCAGGCACCGTCGTCGACCGTGGAATCACCCACAAGATCCTGCGCGAATTCTACCTCCAGGCCCACCAAGGCCTCCAAGGAACCGCACGTCCAGCCCACTACGTGGTTATCAAGGACGATATTTCCTTCGAGGCTGACCAGATGGAGCAGTTCACGCATCACTTGTGTTACCTCTTCAACCGCGCCACCAAGGCTGTATCAATTTGCCCTCCGGCATACTACGCAGACTTGCTCTGTGAGCGCGGTAGATCTTACCTGTTCACCGCATTGGCTGAGGACAATACCTCTGATGGGGGCGAGTACAGTCCTGGCGCGGGCGGCTGGACAAAAGACGTTCACCCGAAATTGAGGGAGACCACTTGGTATGTGTAGGTGGGATGATTCGCTCCCGACACACGAGCACAAAAGTGCACTGCGATGGTCTGGAAATGCGTCGGAACTTGTTGGCTTTGCATACACTCTCTACACTGTTTGAACACAGAAAGATCTTGGCCCTTTCGTTGACGCGGCTGGAGATGAACAAAACATCTTGAATGTTGAGGGGAAATTGACCGAGAGATGGTCGGACATCTTTCTTTGTACAAGTGACGGCGCTTCATAAGGTACATAGAACTAACAATTCAACATGTGTTGTTCTGATCGAGTTGGAACTCTCAATCACTTGACAAAATACACTCGTTCACACATTTCCAAAAGCTGACATACAATGGCTGATTGCAGCACTGCACATGAAGGCGCCAGGGCAATGCAATTTCCAGTTCCCACGTACATAAAGGCAAACCTGCTCACAATGCCTCACCCAGACTCCTCCCATGCTCACACGTTCCGAAAAGATCCAAGCAAGTTTTTGTACTTTCCAATCGCATGCATTATCCGGGTATCCAACACCATCTGCAAATGCTAATAAAAAAAAACACCAAAAGTCTTTCATCCTCGTGTGTTCATTGGTCTCGTTTCATGGCAAACCTCATATCAATGCCCGGGCTCTTTGCTCGATGTCTCCGCTCACTGTTGGGAGTTCCAGGCCTGCTGGTGGACATTGCATCCCTGAAGGGATTTTGAAGAGGGGATCGCGCGGGCGTTGCTGTTGCTTCTAGATCGAAATAGCCCCCGCCGCTGCTGCCGTCTTCGCTTTTTTCGTATTGGGAGATATTGATGGGTGGTGGGCGGAGTTGTTTGTCAGTTGGGCTGGAGTTGTGGAAGAGGTAGGCGGATGCTAAGGTTGAGACGGTGCCGAGGAGGTACTAGTGATGTGTTAGTGGGWCTGAAACGGAGGGTGGGATTGGGGAAGCTTACGAGGACAGCTGTGTTGAGTTCTGTGGAGAGGATGCTTGCTACTAGGACTATGACTGTCGATGCACTTGTGGTTAAGCTCTTCGTGGTGCTGTCTGTGTAGCTGAGCGCTATCGCTACTAGAACCTGTGAGGAGATTAGTGAGTGTACGAAAGAGCATGGTTTTGGGGCCGACTTACGCCTCCAAGCGCCTGCAAAACAATGACAACCCACACCACCCAGCTATATCCGGTGAAAAAGCCCGTTCTTGCGATGTGATCCATGTCTGTGAAAGCCACTCCAAATAGCAGCGCCGGTATCATCGCGTAGAGCGAAAGCTGGACATTCCGCACCCACACCGAAACTCTCGAATCCTTGGTCTTCAACACCTTTTCAAAGTACACACCAGCCGCACCAGCTAGAATGCATGCTGCAAGAGCTGCCGCAAGTCCAACAGACGCATTTCGTCTCGGACTAGCCGCAGCAACGTCCTCATCAATGCCTTCGTATGTCGCCGAACGCTTTCTCAGGTTGCCCGCAGCATTGAGCTTGCCAGCCGCAACATTGCCTTCTCCCTCCATATCCCAGATGCTCCTCGGCGAGTGAAATGAGACGCCATCTCGCAGATCCTGCATGGACAACACTCCCTCCTGCTGCGACATGTAGGAGATCTGTACCACAGCGATCGAGACTGMCATCAATCCCAAGCTCAGCCATTTCCGCACGTCCAGCACTCTGCCCAAGAGGACTGCACCGAAGATGGCAGTGAAGACCAATTTGGCCTGGCTTGTGACGGTCCACGTCGCCGCATCCAGATTGCTCGCTGCAACATAGAAGAGTGTGTTTTGGATGGTATACAACAGCGCAGGAAGAGCCAGCTTCCAGCTGTCTCCTGTAAACACAGCTTTTGACAATGACCCGGCCAATTGGCTGATTGTGGGCGAATCGGAGGTTTGGGGGCCTGTTGCGACTTCGTAGAGGGCAACAGAGAGGAAGATGGAGAGTTTGATGATTTCGGCGAGCAGGACGGCGGTTGAGGTGAAGTATCGGTCGCCATTCACCAGCGGCATGTGTCGTGAGTAGTGTGTCAGCAGGATGGATGCTGCATTTTGCACCACCAGCGCTGCCAGCGTGAGGTGCTTTATGGGYAGTCCAGCGAGATGTGTTGTCTGGCGAGCCATGGTGGTGTCGATCGATATGACTATAGCCGAGTCGTGATTCGCAGGTGCCCACTGCCCATCAACTGATGATGGAGGAAGTCGTGGTTCCCAGAGGAGGAAATGTCGTATAATCGGTAGTCGGTACTTTGGGTAAGAGGTCGTCTGACCATCGGTCGAGAAAAGTAGTGTTGGCGGGAAAGCGGTGTACTGCGCTGGCAGTGGACAGTCACGAGTCCGGTGGATGTTGTGCCGTCCTGCAGTAGAACTAGTCCGGTCTGCTCAGGGGACCGCGGCCGACCAGTAAACACAAAATTGTTTATTACCTTACGCTTTGGCAGTTGTTAGATGAATAGCTAGATAGCTATGTTGCCATCATCAATACCACCGTACTTGGCCCTCGTGGCCACGTTCCTGCCTCTCAGCCCTACCTCAAGTCGCGCGTCACCTACGCGCTGATGCTGATCGATCCCGGCCTTGCGGCACCGATGATGATGAGCTGCAGACGGCGTGTCATGATCCCGCGCTCCCACGTTGTCAGACCAAAGAATGCCTCTGGAAGGTCCAGACTCAAGGACACAGCTCTCCGTCTCACCCGTCTGCTTCGACGCGAGTTTCACCTTGCTATCGCATGGGCAATGTTAGGGAGACCAGGAGAGACGAGATGCACAGCAGGTTACGCCGTCAATGGCGTCTCTGCGGCACCACCTCGCCATTGCCCAACACGAGCCTTGCTCCTCACAGCGCACTAATCACGCTGCCTGATTCGCTTGCAAGCGGCCCTTGTGAGTCGTGGGATTCGGAAACAGCGCTGTAACATTGGTTCAAAACCGAGTGGATTGATTGGAACAGCGTGGCATTTTGACCAATTTGATGGTCACTGCGACGCGTACTCCTTGTCTGAGCCGTTCGAGCCGAAGTATTGCGGCAGGAACTAACCAAGAAGAGAGTTCCACTTGCCTTTGCTTCGAAGCCACGGCATCCCGTGCTGTTCCTGTTGGTGTGGAAGTCTTCCTCGTTTGCACCTAATCGCAGCCTCACCGCCAAGCTTATCGATCCCACATACCACAGCGGGACCTGTATAACCCGAACGCTTCTCGTTCGCTGCTCGAGATCAAGTCACCATGGCTACGCTTCCGCGCAGAGATGGCAAGACTGCCTTAAACACGGGTGCTGCCAGTCGTCGGTTTAGTACCTCGAAAGGACCCACTGATCAAGGTATTGAGCTTGTTTCTACATCAAAAGCTTGTAGATGTTGACCTTTCCTCCTCAGAAATCAACTCGGCTGTGCATCTTCAATTCCGTCAGGCTCATGAGGGACATAAGCCACATGCTGGACTTGATCCTGCTCGTGCCTCGACCGGTGTGGTGTGGACGACGGAGAGAGCTTACGAGCGTGGCTATGGTGACGACCCTCACGCATGGGCCAATCTTGGCCAGGGAGCGCCCGAAGTCGACGATGGTATCGTCTATCGCGAAGTACCAGATGACAGCAGCACTGACATGTCTTGCCGTAGAAATCGAGGGATGTTTCGAGAGGCCTCACAGTAAGCTTTGATGTGAGCGCTTGGCGTTCGATGCTTATACTGATTGATTGCCCAGCCATCGACATTTCCATGACTGGACGTGAATACGGTCCAACGGCAGGCATCAAGCCCCTCCGTGAAGCTGTTGCTCACTTGTACAATGAACATCACCGTCAAGGAAAGGAGAGCAAGTATGTCAATGCGAAGCCTGGAAGACATTCATCGTTGATTTGTCTTCAAGCGTTCAACAATCTTGGTTCTTATCGTTTCTAACATATCCTCCTCTAATCTAGATACACCTGGGAGAACGTGTGTATCGTCCCCGGAGGTCGTGCGGGTCTCATTCGAATCGCTGCTGTTCTGGGCAATGCCTACTTGGGCTTCTTCATTCCCGGTTCGTTTGCCACTCCCAGACGTCATCATGTTCACTGACAATTGGTATGAAAGACTATAYGGCCTACTCCGAGATGCTGAGTCTGTTTAAGAATTTTGCCGCCATTCCGATCCCTCTCAAGAAGGAAGATGGGTACCAAATTCATGCCGAGAAGATCGAAGAAGAGATTGAGCGTGGCACGTCGGTGATCATAACATCAAACCCTCGTAATCCTACTGGTAAAATGGTCCCTCGTGCCGAACTCGCTGAAATCCAGGATATCGCTCGTGACCGAGCTGTAAGCACCATATTATAATCGAGGAACGATCAAGCAACGCTAACGCTCCCAGACCCTTATCATGGACGAGTTCTACTGCGGCTACAATTACACTACAGACTGCGATGGAACTGTCATCAGTGCAGCGGACAATATTGATGACGTAGACGAAGACGACGTTCTCATCATCGATGGTCTCACGAAACGTTTCCGCCTGCCAGGCTGGCGTGTAGCGTGGATTGTTGGTCCGAAGGAGTTCGTCCGTGCTCTTGGCTCTTGCGGCTCCTATCTCGACGGTGGTACCAATGTCCCGTTCCAGGAAGCAGCTGTTTCCATGCTGGAGCCCACCAAAGTCCGCCATGAGATGAAGGCTCTCCAATCTCACTTCCGCATGAAGCGCGACTATGTCGTCGGCCGGTTGGAGGGCATGGGTTTCCAGCTCGACTACACGCCTGACTCTACTTTCTACCTCTGGCTTAACCTGGAGCAACTTCCCAAGGAGATCAACGACGGTCTGAACTTCTTCTCCGCGTGTTTGGAAGAGAAGGTCATTGTCGTTCCGGGTATCTTCTTCGACCTCAATCCCAGCAAAAGAAGGGATTTGTTCGACAGTCCGGCTCATCATTACGTTCGGGTTTCGTATGGACCAAGGATGGAGGTGCTCAAGGCTGGCATGGATGGGTTTGAGAGGATTCTGAAGAAGTTTGTGGATGCTGATTGATTTGTTCTCACGGCTTGCTGACTTTGATACAGGTATAACTGCTTCCAGGATGTTTCCAAGTAGGATGTTGGATGWGAGAGTGGATCCGAATTCGTGATCCTGCGGCGACCTGTGACGGGACCGCGCCGAGACGACATAATTTCGTTTGCGGAAGGAGGATAGTATTGAGCTATAGGCGTAGTGAGTACATTTCGAAAGATTCTTACGTTTCAACCCTGGCGGAGAGTACCGGTGGGTGTGACGGTGTAGTGTTTTTGCGAAGCATCCCCATTCGACTCCGATCAGCGTTGTAATCCCCTTGCAAAGATGTAAGGTAAAGTGCTCGAGATGCTTCTGGAGGGGCGATTTGGGTTCGTCGCGTTTCGTGTTCATTCGATCCAAGGCAGACGCGCTCTTTCCTCCGGCGCACCTATGCGGAACATCACGGAATTCCCACCTCTTCGACACTTTGACCAAACAACAACGCCACAACGCCAACCTCTACATACAATCGGATTGGCACGCCTTCGAGGTCCACAATGCCGAACTTCTGGGATCTCCCAAAGAACGTTCGCGATGTCATCTACAAGCACCATCTGGTGTACGACAAGCCTGTGAACATCGACATGCACCGTGCAGCCGTCGGACATCATGGCCAGTTCCATCACCGTGAGAGGTTCATGCCGCCGATCTTTCACCTGTCGAAGCAGGTAGAGCGAGAAGCGATCCCTTTCTACTATGGGATGAACGTCTTCGACATTGGAGAAATGCAGCTGTGGTCAATGACCAGTATCACATGGCCGCGGCACTGGAATCAGGTGCGGCGAGTTGAATGCACATGGGATAGGCTTGACGCTTGGGGAGGTTATGGAAGCGTGCGCGAGGCTTTCATTTCCCTGAGTAAGATGAAAAGGCTTCAGGAGCTCAATATCAGAATCGACGAGGCGAAGATTGTCAAGAGAATACGCGTCACACGCGAAACACGCCAGCGACCACAACATGTTATGGACCTCACGAATCAGCAAAATCTTGCAATCCTTCGCTTCCCTGGGATCACTGGCTTGTTGACRCTGTCTCGCATTAATCATGTCACTTTCTCCAAGCTCATCGACCCCAACGGAGTTGAGRGCGGTGGCATGATCCCAGGTGGGGCTTTGGAGACTCACGTCTTACCTAGATTGAAGCCGAAGCAGGAATTGAAGCGCCGGAAGTAAGTCTGTTCTTGACATTTTCAACACCGACTCACTGACAGTCTCGCAGGAAAGGCTCGTCATTCCGCTTCCTCAATCTGCCACCAGAGCTGAGGAACCATATCTATCATCTGCTGCTGCGGGTCACAGGGTCTATTAATCCATCGAAGGAGCCTCCAACCTCTACTCCAAGGGACCCCGAGTCCATCAAGCTAACAGAGGGCAAGCACACGAAGTCTGCTCTCGCCATCCTCTCGGTGTGCAAGCAGATGAATGAAGAAGCAGTAGGAGTGTATTACAGCTGCAATTCATTCGTGTTTCATTATCCGGTGCAACTAAGCGCTTTTCTGATTGCGATCGGATCTCAGCGGAAGAAGATGATAAGGGACATCACGATCTACTACCACAACCTCAGAATGGGTGGCGTGGAGCTGATAGATCTCGCCTTCCCGCTCTTGAAACAGTTGCCTGGCTTGAAGAGACTTCACGTCCTGATGATTGCCAGTCTTGGCGAGACCAATCTTCGCCGAGGCTGGCTAAAGGGTTATCACAATCGTTGGAGGGCTGGGCGACCGGGCATGGATACGATTGGTACCAATCCTGCTCTGATCCCTGGCATGAGGACCTTGTTCGAACTTCGGGGACTCACAGATCTTTCTGTCCGTGATCTTGAACTCGAAAAACTGATCACCGAGCTTGAAAAAGAGAAAGCGTATCCGAACTTTCCAAAAGGCAGCTTAGATGCGAATTTGCTCAAATTGTCCCGGGCTTTCGAGCACTTCAATGCTGCACTGGCGGATGCGCAGCTTGGCGAGGTTAACGAGGGACTGTTTCGGGACGATGATTGGCAGACATGGGATGTCTTCCCGACGATGGATGGTGGTGGCCTGAAGACTCTCGTCGAGAAAGCTTAGCAGCGCCGTGATTTGCACGAACGAGAATTTGGAAAAATCGCCGTTTCGAGACGTGGTGTGGTCAAGTTGCCGGAGTTGCAAGAGCGGAGGGAGGCAGACGGAAAATGCGAAAGAACTTTGGAGCATGTACACGGCAGAGTTACGACGCTGAATGTCATACTTTCCGCCATACCGACCGGGACGATACATGTGCAGTCCAATTGACGCTGATACTCAATTTTTCATCATGCTTGATGATATGTGCCCACTGGCCGTCTAGAGTGAGAATACGCAATGAGTTGCTCAAAAGCCTTCGCCGTAGAACTCGTCTCCGTTTACATTGCTTCCAGGACCCGGAACAATGTCCACTATGGCAAAAGGATGCTTAAACTACATGTAAGTTCTCATCTGAGTATTTCGTGGCATCATCGGTCATTGCTTAATGTTTGCCATCGAGCCCAGTAAGAKCAACCTCCTCCCGGACGATGTCGTGGCTGCCAGACTGCGCACCGCCACGTTGGTTTCGACCGTCTCGATCTCCATTTCGCCTCCAGTAAGCGCATCTTGTCCAGGAAAGGCTTGTATGAAGTTAACGACACCTTCAGGGGCGTGTGTCGATCCTTGAATTTTGCTATAGCCAGACTGGTTCAGGGTGTTCCAGCCATGTGCGATGCAAAAGATAGCTTATATGCACTATTTTGTCGCCTCCACGTTCATCTATGAGCTGTCTGGCACTACCGGATCAAGTGGAGCGTTACTTGACCGGTCACTCAACTAAGCCACCGCTCCGCATGTGAAAGTGGGTCTTCGAAGCTTCAAACGCCAAGAAATCTACATGATTGATGTTGTACAGGAGTAAGCACATTTCGAGAACAACAGGTCTTTCCGAGAATCTGATATGTGGAGCGTTCCGTACGTCTACCTTCCGTGTGAGTTGGTAGCGGGTCAGAACAGTCAGGCTCGAGTACCACACAGCGCACCTTCACAGGATGACTCCTCGTCTGGACTTATAAGATGACTTGCCGTCTGTATCCTCGACATCTCACAACCTCTCGACTTATTGCTCCGCAGTCTTCAGTCCGAACACATACCATGGCGGCCACTAGCTCGAGCACACGTCCATCACCTGGCACGGTTTACTTCCATAAACCCCAGGAGAAGCCCTACGGCATCTTCTCACAATGGTACAGATGCTACTTTAAGGTTGAWGGACACTTGTACATCAGCGCGGAGATGTGGATGATGACGGAAAAGGTGAGTCTTCGATGGCGTGGTGATGATCCTGCCCGACGCTGACATCTCTTCAGGCAAAGCTGTTCGGAGACGAGGTACTTTCCTACTGACTAGCAACCTGTCATGAGATATGGCTGATCCGGAGTTTCCAGAATATCGTGCGGCAGATGTTGAACACACAAGATCCGAAAGACCATAAGAGATTGGGTCGACAGGTCAAGGGCTTCTCCCATGCGAAGTGGGATGCTCGTGAGTTTAATGTCCTTCTACGGATCTACACGGCCTGACATGACATAGACAAAAGCCGGATTGTGATCGAGGGCAACTACCACAAGTTCACCAAAGGTCCAAACAGCAAATACTTGGCTAAAGTTCTTCTCGATACTGGAGACAGCGAATTAGTCGAGGCAGCTCCAAATGACCCGATATGGGGCATCGGTTTCGCCGCAAAAGACGCCGAGCAATCCAGGCGAGAGTGGGGAGAGAACCTTCTTGGAAAGGCATTGATGGAAGTCCGGCGGCGCCTGAGAGAGGAAGCGGCGCATGCTGAGAGTGCTTGAGGGAGGAAATGATAACGCGGTGTCAAACACTATTAGACATCCTGCTCAGAGCAGCTAGCTTCACTACGGAGGGTATCAAACGATCTTTTGAACTGTCTACAAAGCCACGGCCGCGACTCCAATGCTTCCAGCGACCAACATGACGGCGACAACGCTCATGCTCGAGATCTGGACGCCTGCGCCGGTGAGACCTCCACCGCCACCTCCAGCACTTGGTGAGTCCGTGGGTGCATCACCAGAGGCCGGCTGGGTCGACGTATTCTCCGCCGAATTGCCCGAAGCCGATGTAGCGCTTGAGTCTTCCGCCGAACTGGTCGTTTCAGCAGAGGTGGTCTCAGAACTGGAAAGGTTCTGCGWCGTAGTGGAATCTTCGCTGGTCGTGGAAGTTGTCGCGGCCGCAGCGGTAGTCGAACGACTCGAACGAGTAGAAGTGGACGAGCTCTCACTCCCATCATTTTCAGGATCCGGACATCCAAATCCAAAGCAGACGCAAGGCTGGACTGGGGTACCTTCGCCGTTTGGATCACAGGAGTACTGAGATTGGCAGCAACCGTCGAGACAGCATGTTGTTGCTAATGCGCAGCACTGGTGGAGACGTTAGTGTGAATGAGGGATTAGGGGAGAGGAGGATTGTGTGTATGGAATACTCACGGTCATTCCATCGCTGCAAGCGGTCGACGAAAAAGGGCATTCGTATGTCTGTCGAGCGAAAAGGGAGTTGAGGCTAGTTGCTGCAAGGTCGGGCTTTTTTAGACCAGCGAGTTTGATCGGTTCGCCTGTGGAGCTCAGGGCCGCGAAGGCACTTGATGCGGTCAGGCAGAGAAGGCTGAATGTGTACATGGCGACAGTGGTTGTTCGTTGTTGTGCTTGAGATCTTGAGGGTGATTCTGCGATGATATACTTCTTGTTGATTGGAACACGGGGGGTGGGCGACAGCCATCACTTATGTTTTACCAGCTCCAGGGAACTCTGAAGTAGATCATCTTATTCTCGCTACACACATCCGCATCTAGCAAAGCTCCAAAGCCGAGGGCCGCAGATATGAGGCTCAGACAGGATGCAAAGTGACTCAAGCGGCGGCCTCAAAGCTCAGGCACACTGCGATTTGTATAGAAAGGGTATAATCGGCGAAGCTTGTCCTCTGTTCCACTGGCCAGCGCAAGCTGATGGCTGCCCGTAGCCTAGCAGCGTGCAGGATACTTGAGACGAAGAAAAGAGGGGAAACCTATAKGATTGTAGAGAAAGGCATTCGCTTAAGAAATTACCCAATTGGGTTCTTCACACGTGGATTGTGGCGCCCAGGTTTGTACTGCTTGAGTTCCTTGGCAAAACTGGGCGTAGGAAAGCTGGTGGCCTGATTGAAAAAGATCTGCATTGAAGAGGCTTGTTTGACTCATCGGATAAGCAATCATTCGCTTGAGATCCGGGGCTGTTCTAGCCGGTGTTGGAGATGATGGTAGTGGCTGCAGGAGTGCATGGCCTCCAAATCGGGCATGTGTGCAGCTGAAAGAAGTAACCTCGTCACACAGAAGATTGGAATTTGAGCCAGTCCAGCGGTGTGCATTGAGAGCGTGTTAGTCCAGGGACGTGCAATGCACGACCATTCATGTTGTGTTTCGCCGCTCACATGAAGCTAGATACTCTCGAAATGACGCGGTAGAGCGATTCATCTGCCCTGATAAAGTCGGACTGACACTCAGTGACCGACGAGTGCTTTATTGGTCGGAAGGGAGTCGTTCCTACCCGGATCATCAGAACCAGGCTGTGCTCTTCTCATGTCCGCCATGGGAATGGCCTCGACTTTAACTCTGACCGACGATTCACTTACAGTCGAGGGCTCCCCACAGTCTCGGCTGCAAGGTAGACACTCGTGCTCATGGCACAAAGTTTGCCCAAGTTCAGCATGCCTCGAAATAGCTCTTCGTTATCATTCCTGTTCGATCTATTCCCACGCAGGTATCTTGACGATTATAGCACCAACTCGATGCTTACAGGAGGCCAAGGCGAGAACGGGGCCCACTACCAGCCCAAGTCAGATGTTTGGGACTAATGCTCGCTTCTGCAGCTCACTCTCTCATTCGTGATCAGCGGCTGCATCAGCCATAACGAAGCGATCGTTCGCATCTTCTGCTGCAATCCTGGTTTGACTTACTACAACCCCACAATCCTCTAGCCAGGGCGCGTGAAACCGGGGAGGGTCAAGAGTATACATCCCTGCATCCACAACTATCACAACGAGATGGAGGCAGCAGTACTGCTGGCGAGCGAACAGGCACATCTCGTTGCCGAGATCTGATTCCATGTATCTGCGCACAGAGTGGCGTCTGCGGTCCCTGTCACAGTGAGTGTATGCTGTCGCTTCTTACCCTTGGCAGTGGCATGTTGCGTTATCCGGTAGGGAGTGGAGCAGTTTCTGCCAGGAGTCGACGTTATAGAGTCCTCGCATAGGCCATCTCCGCTGTAAACGCACTTCAGACACATGTGGCGGAATTCCTGGGGTCTCTTCGCACTCGTAGTCTGTTCGTATCCGGATAGAGCCAGAGCGCTCTCTAAGGTAAGGGGCCCAATGGTTCGGCTGCAGAGCGTAGAGCGGCTGACCTCATCGGCCGCATAATGGCCTCTATTGAGTGTCGATAGGCTTCGTCAGTGCCGCTGTCCACAGCATTTTGCGCGGACTGTTTGCGTCCAAGAGGGTCGGCTTCCGTATGGTACCAGGCCAACGCAGGATGTCGGTCACTTCTATCAGGCATGTTCGATAAGGGAGTCCAATGATCAACCATGGAGCTGTCCAAGGCAAAAGTGCCTCAAGATGAACCGGTCTTGAAATCGCGGTCCAGAAGACCTCCACTGCCACCGTAGGTGTGTCGTGACACGTATCAGTCGAACGGAGTGCTGACGGGCCAGCATGCACGTTGTTGGATGAACGGGAATTAGTCCGCTTGCCTTCTATTGTAGTGCTTGAAGCCTCTCTGCTTCTCCTCGATGCCGTCACATTTGATGGAGGCGCCGCTCTGTCTGGATTACGGAAGCTTCGTCGGCAATGCAAGTTATAGAACGTCGATGGATGGATATTCCTTGTTACTCTGCGCGTCTCGTATTCTATCCGCTGGAAGCTTTTCAGTTCAAATCTGGCTTCCAATCTCCCGAAGGGGCGGACATGTGGGGCTAAAGATCCATTGGCTGGCAAGAGCGTGTCAAATGTTGACGGCGTCGACGGCGCATCGGGCACATTATTGCAGTTGGGCAGACAGAGGGACACATTCCGCAGGTTCTTCGTCGAAAAACACGACAATCGTGACGAGAAAGCAGCACCTGCAGCGGGTAAGGTATACCGACGTGGGATCTGGGATCCCGCAATCCCCACCCGAACCCCTGGTATCTCCATCGGCACCATCGCCGAAAGCGAGCCAACAGCCCGTCTTTCTATTGACCACCCCCCAATATCTACCTACGACTCGTGCAGGAGCAGGAGTGTTCTCAGACATCCTGCCTCGCTGCTGCATGTCCATACTGTACAGCGGAGGATGCGCAACACCTCGACCGAGWATTCATGCCCGCGGTGAGGGTAGCCTCTGCGCGCACGCGCCTCACTCACTGGAGTAAGGGTAGCAGCAGCTTTTCCGTCTCTTCCATTGGCACACGCGGAGAGGACGACACGTCCAAGATGAATGGTCACGTGAATGGGATTGGGAAGCCTCTATATTTCGACCAACAAGCCGATCCACGATACGAGACCTACGACGACTACGAATCCAGCACGTCCAGTTCGGCGCAGTATCSCACCTCGAAACCACTGCCTCCTGCGCCTCCCAACGGCCAAACAGAGGGCGGACACTACGACGGCTTTGACTTCTCCTCGCCCACCTCCGACGAACCAACGACCAACGGCCACTTTGACGATTTTGCATTCCAGCCGCCCATGGTGGACGACATTCGCCTAGACACAAGCCGGGAAACTGGGCAGGATGCCGTGGGACGGCACTTGCTATACGAGACGGCCCTTCTCGACACGCAGGCGTACGAGGTACTAGACATCAACGAGGTTGACGAGCTAAAGAAAGAACATGCACGACTGCAATCACGAATAGAGGCCGCGAATCGCAAACTTGCCCTGGAGAGCAAGGTAAAGGATGCCGCCCACAATTTGCACAGGCTGTACTCGGCCAGCAAGAGACCGGATACCCCGCAGAGTCCAAATGACCCACGAAACGGCAGCAACACTCTTGGGGGCGGTCGAAGAAGGAATGGGAGCGGGTCTAGTCACGGGGGAGACACGCTGCACCAGGCGGAGGAGGAGCTAGYGCAGAGTATCAAGTCGGTCGACGAGTTGAATGAGCAGATCAAGACACTGTTGGAGAGGAGTCAGACTGTGGAGAGAAAGCTGCTTAGGCATACCGCGGCGGTGCTCGCGCAGCAGGCCAGTCAGGCAGCGGAGATCAGCACGGCGCGACCTACGAATGGCCTGCGCCATCTTTCAAGCGACGATGTGATAGGCTACGCACCGACCGATTTTGACGGCATACGGGACATCCTCCGCGGTATGCCAGACGCAGCTGCCACATCGGGCGACGTGCAAAAGATCCAAGACGAGAACGAGCAACATTTGGTCGATATGCAGGACCGTCTTGAGCAACTTAACGCCCAACTACGGGGTGTTATCGTCGAGGCCAGCCAGAATCGTGGCGTGCAACCCGCACCGGAGCCGCAAATAAGATCGTCAGACGATGTCAAAGATCGTATTGAAAGCATGCTTGCGGCGCTAGAGCGCAATGTTCGCGCAGCTGAGCAGGAGCAGAAAAACAGCACATCCCATCATGCTGTCGAGAGTCGTATGGGAGATTTGAATTCCCAGCTGTATCACATCATGCTCACTTCTCCCGACTCGGAAGTGGTCAGGGAGCTTGATGAGCCACCAGAGGTCACAGGTAATGGCTACGAGCATCAGCTGCATTATCTACAAGAGAGCGTGCTCACCATGGACAAAATCATACGGCAACACAAAGAGGATCTGCAGAATGCAAATGCGGCGAGCGGTGGGGCATTTGCAGCAATCGACGCTGCACAGTCCGAAGCCTCTGCTAAAGCGCTGAAAGCGGCCGAAATCGAGACTGTCATCGCAGGCCTTTGGGAACTTGTAGAGTCCGAAGGATCGTCCGCTCCGCGCGAAAATGACGCCGTGTCCCCAATCACGCCCATCCGGGAAGACTTTTCTCTGCAAGCGTTCAGCGCGCGGGTGCAGCATCTCTGCGACGTCGCCAGAGGATCCAAAGAGCAGCAGGACATCCTGCGCCGACAGATCCAGCAGCAACGAGACCTCAACGGAAAATCAGACATGGAGAAACACCGGGAGCTAGATGAGCTTCAGACTCGCTTCGAACAGCTCACAGCTGCATACGATGCCACCCAGGTTGACCTCGCAACTAGCATGGCCAGTAATGAGCAAGCTGAGCGAGAGGTTATCGAGTCTCGGGGCGAGATGCAAAATGTGATGAACGAGCTCGAACAGATGCGAAAAGCCTTTGACGAGAATCAAGCAAAGCAAAAAGACGCAGATTCTCGACATGCGCAATGGTCGGCTGAAAGGTCTACCGCCGAACAAGCACACGCAGACCTTCGAACCGAGATGGAGAGCCTGGAGTCCGAGGTCGTTCGTCTTACCACTGAGCTTACAATGGCAAAGGCCGATCTTGACGGCGCATACGGTACACGGCAAGAGCGTAAGAAGGAGGCTGGTGTCGCTGCGCAAGACATGGAGGCGCTTGAGAAACTCRAGGATCAAGAGATCGAAGCGTTGCGTAAGAATCAAGCCGATCGCACAAAGTTACTTGAGACGGAACTGCAAGACATGATGGAAGAATTCCAAGCCATGACAAGAGAGAGCTTAGAGCTTGAAAAGGAGCGTGCCCAGCTCGAGGGTCTCATCGATGGACTGAGAGAAAGGGTTGATCAGCTTGAGCAACAGCTTGCAGACGAGAGGGTGCAAGCCATTGGTGTCAAGCCATCTGGTGGTAATACGGACCCGTCGCCGAAGGAGAGCACAAGCGTCATGGTCTTGAGACAGGAGTTCAAGAGGATGATGAGAGAGGCGCGAGGGGAAGGCATACGTGCTTTGAGGGTGAGTGGTCCTGATACCTTCGACACGGCGCATGTCTTGCTAACGTTTGTGATCCAGATCGAACAGGAAGAACGCCGCAAAGTCGAGGCGGACCTCCGACGGTATCGTCAGGCGGCCGGTCCCCTTGGGAAACAAGGCCTCGTCACGGCTCCCAGTCCGAGAAGTGCACACAGTCGCACAGGGACTCTTGCTAGTAGCAGCGGCAATCGGGAGAGTGCTCAGACTCTTACTCCCGTCACCAATCTTTATGCAGCTCCGCAGTCGGCTACAGCAGGTTGAGATCTCCCTGCCTGAAATACACTATTACACATACTACACTGTTACATCACGATGCATGGCGAGGAAAAGTCTCCATTTGAAAATCATCATCACTTCTACCAATGTCTACCTACATTTTACAGATTCACGAATATACATGTTCAACGAGTTGCTTGCTGATTTAAAAATCTTAATTGAGTAGGTGAGTTCAAGCGACGAGGACACTGCTGTGTATGTCGTGAGATCGAAAGGAGGGTGCACGAGCGAACATGCCGCCTTCGGTGGTGCAAATCTGGGACTCATCCGATGCTTGATCTGCTCCCCGAGACGGACTTGCGCACGAAGAAGAGTGATACTTTACCACCGAGCTTGCACAGACGTACTGCCGCCATGGATGACGAGAGTAGAGGAACCTACGCCTTGGAGGCCTGCTCACAGCCACAGCCTGTACAACAACGACGGTTCGATTTGGCATTGCTGGGAGTTGTGATCAGTCATGGGTTGAAGCCTGGACGGTTGCGGGATCGAATGATGGGGAGTGTCTGGGCCAGCAAGGAATCCCTTGCACGGAGCAGTCCAATTGTGATGATGGAAGAAACGACCGGCCTCTGCGGAAACCGAGTTTGACCAATGTCACGCATATTGAATCTTCGATCATATTGCTTATCGGATCCTCGCTCTGCTCTTATGGCTTCCTGTACGCCGGCGGGTAACTTGAGACTCACGGGGACTTCTCGCTCGCGACATGCCAGCTCGAGGCTTGGAATTGGGAAGGCACTACATCCCAAAAGGCAACATCTTCGAATTGCAAGCTTACTCTCTACATCGCAATCCAAGATTGTGGTCTCAGTCACTCGAGTACGTTTGGTTTCTATCTCTTTTGCTTATATTCACATATACTCATCGGTCCATAGATTCAAGCTTATCCGCTGGATCAACGCAGATGGAAACGGCAAAAATCGACACCCTATGCGCAGCAGCCAAATTAGTTTGAAGTACCTTCGGCCTGGATCTCGTGTGTGTCTGGGACAACATATCGCCTGGAGTGAGGTGAACTTCGTCACGCAACCCCGCAATTTCTTCGGCAGTGTCCCCAGGCGAGGCTTGCTCCATCCACGGCACCTAAATGTATAGAGATGGATAATCTCTTCCTGATTATGCCCAAGGGACATCGTTGAGAGGTTGTTGGTGTGAGCGTTGAGATACAAGACCGATAGGAACAGAAACAACAGGTCATCAATTCCTATACCCATTCATCTTCTCACAATGTCTTCCAAGCAATTCCTTGCCCCCTATCTCTCACAATAAAGTATTCACCAATTACATCCTTACTCCACTTCCGCTAGACACTTTTCCACTCTAAGCATCCTCCTCCCACTCCTCAACTCTAAATTCCCCCAACGAATACTTCCTAGCAAACTCCTCGCCACTCATCCCTCCCTCCCCTTCATCACCCACCCGATCCGCATCCCTCTCAAACCCTTTCATCTGCACCACACTTTCGGGAACTAAATACCCCACCCCATCGACCTCGATAGAAGACTTTCCTTCTTCGTCTGTGGCAACATAGTTAGGAATCGGCGGGGAATTTTCTAAAGCTTCATTGATGATTTGAATTCCTTCTGGTGTGATTTTGCCGTGCGAGTCGGAGTGGGAGCGCATGACGCTGCACATGATTTGTTGGATGGGATGCTCTATGGGAGTGGTGTATGAGGTATTGTTGTTGTTGTTGTCGCTTTCTGCGGATTGTTGGTTTGGGTTTGGGTCCGCGGATTTTAAAGGAGTAGCGGTAGCCGTCATGGCTAGGAGGGCGAGAGGAATTGATCGCATGGATGGGTTTGAGGGCTGGGGTCTTTCTAGCTGGAAATTTTGATGTGATGGAAGGGATGGCTGTTCAGTGGATGTCGTTATTGTCGTATCTGTCTCATAAATTCCTGTTGCCTGCTGTAGAGGCATACTAGTTAAACTCAACTTCACCTCGGGCAAAAGTCAACCATTGAAAAACATGACGCCAATCAGGACTGTAGACTTCGTAATGAGCCTGTCGGATCTGATGTATGAGGTCTACTGGAAGTTGCGTGATGAAGCAACCTAGCCACCACTCCTGTAGCAGGAAGAGCAAAAGTTCAAACGCGCGAAAATGTGGTATCCATGACGAAAAGATATGACCCGCAACGCCCAAAGTCCACGCCATGCCATGCCATGCCATCAGGGAGCATCATTGTCATCCCTTCAATACGAGAAGCTGGTGCCCAAATGACGAGCGAAGAGACTGTCCCAAGCCCTTCTGTTCAAATCGCTGCGTGTCTCGCAATCGCAGATGAAGAAACTCCAGCAATCAAAGACATTACTGTCCGCGAGCAACATTCTGCCTCGCCTGTAAAGTCAATCAATATCAGTAACCAGGTCTCATCATTTGAATGGACGCGGAGCTCGCGAATAACTTACCTTCATCATCTCGATCCTCGCCTTGAGATTTTGCGTGACCTCGGCTGCCCGTCTCCAGCTCTCGACTCCGTTCTCGCCCTGGCTTCTTCCAAGTGCGCTGCTGCCACTTACACTCCTCGCGCTCTCATGCTCCTCCGCAGGCGTTGCACGTCCGGAGGAAGCTCCATTACTCATAGGTCTGGAAGCCTGGGACGACGGACGTTCTGCATAACCGCCTCTTAGCTTAGCACCTTCCTCGGCATCGCGATAGTTCTCCTTACCAAAATCTCCATTGCCACCATTGTAGCCGTCGATGCTAGCGTACTGCCTGCTACCACCATACGGCCTCGAATTGTAGCCTCTTGGACTTGAGGGCCCGTTGAGTGTCGAATCGATTGGACTGTCTCTGCCAGCTTGGCTTCTGCCCAATCTTGTGATTTCCCTCTTGAGTCGATCAATCTCCTTGCTGAGAGAGTTTGCCCGATCCTCCGCAGCTTCCGCATCACTTCTTGCGCGTACCAGTTGCGTCTCTTTTGCTTTGATCTGGAGAACATCTCTTGTGTGATCTTCAATGAGCTGTGCATTCTGAACTTGCAGCTCGGCAACTTGTGAGTTCAGCTTGTGTTTTTCGGTCCGCAGATCCGAGGCGGATCCACGCATGTATTCGATTTCTTGTCGTAAATCAACCAGTTCCTGCCGCTCGATGTTGCTCAGTGCTGACGAGGCGCTACGATCAGGCGAGTATCGTTGGGGAGGTGGAGATGTGGCCGCCGCAGCGGGCTTGCCCAATGGACGGCCAGCGAGCCCTCTGCCCATCGCTTTGGGTGTTGCAGGGGGTGGTGCGTCCTCCACATATACTCCTTGCCGTTTAGGAGAAGCAGTTGCTGTGGAGGGCGCTTTAAGTCCTGGTTTTTGTAGACCTGTTCCAGGCGCTTTCAGGCCAGTTCCAGGAGCTTTCAGGCCACCGGCAGTTTTGCCGACAGGTCTGCTTGTCGGTCGCGGTTGGAGAGGAGCGTCCTCGACAAGCGGAGGAGTGACGGCTCTCGCGGGAGCCTTCTTCACGCCACCAGCCGCCGGCCGCTTCGATCCTGGAGCTGGTTTCCTGCCCGCCGGCGCTGCTGCTTTGGGTGGAGGAGCGGCCTTCGGCTTCCACTTCACCTTCACCTCTGATGCATCCATGAACTCCTTGATTTTGCTCTTGCGAATGTCATCCAGTCCCTCCAGATGTGCCAACATGTTCCGGTCGCCCATGATCTTCCACAATACGCCCAAGACTTCAGCACCCGCATCTCTCAATGGGGCTGCGCTTTCAGTAAGGAGTTTCTTGGTGCCCTCCGCAATCTCCTTGGTCTGTTCAGGTGTCGGCGCTTCCCTTGCCATCTTCAAACTTCTCGCGAGGAATTTGGCGGAGTTCTCCTTGACCTGTGGATTCTTCGATTTCAGCGCTTCGAGGACGTCTGCTGTAATGTCACTTAGACCGGTCGCGAGGAAAACAGCATCAYAAGCGGCGGCAATCGCATCCGTGACAGTGACCTTCTTCTCCTTGAACCGCTCCAGCATAGATGCTAAGATTGTGCTCCTGTACTTGCTGAAGGACTTTCTAAGACCTTTTGCAATGGCTTCCACGACGTTGGCGGCGACTGTAACGACAGCGATGTTTGCATCCTTCATGCTCTTCGCACACCCTCGAATGATTTCATCAAAGCTTCCCTCTTGGATCGCAGGGTGGTTCACCGCAGCAAACGTCTCGTCCAAAGCCTCCTTTCTGTCTTTCCACTTTGAACTGGCCAATCGGTCACCAAAGTCGGCGGGAACCTTGGCAAAAACATCAACAGCCTCGAACTCTGGCTCAAGGTCAATGGCTGCCTCCTCTTCTTCCTCTTCTTCTTCTGCAACCGGTGCGGCGGCCGCAGCTCGCTCTTGTGCGGCCTGTTGGGAGCGCAACAATCTCTCTGGCTTTGRCATTGGCTCCGCCTTGACGGGCTCAAACAGCTTGTCCAAGTCCTTTTGCTGCACCTCCTTCAGCTCATTCCAAAACAGCGGCTTCATGGCCTCCCGTAACCAGCGGTACATCTCCACTGTGAGATTTTGTCCCTGCGCTCGCACATTCTTATCCGCATGACCGTAGATCTTGGGTAGCAGCTTGAGCACAGGCTTTGGCTCGATCGTCTTACATCCATAGGCGTGGTAGATGTTGGCGAGCGCTTCTAGTGTGGCGACGATAATCTTGGGTTGCTTGTGCGCAAGGTAGGGTAGAAGGTCTTCGATGATGGGATCGGCCTTGTCCAGCTCGATCAACAGCATGAGGGCTTCCAAGGCACTCGCTTTCGCCGCCGGTCTTCCCGTCAGTCCTTTTTCCACCACTGGACCCACCGTCTGCCCGCGCGTCTTCTTCGCGCCATCCGTGCCTGCGGCATCAAGGAAGGCGTTGTATGCATTGAGCGCCTCCTGCTGTGCGGCAACATTGGAGTCGCCAACTGCCGCTTTCCAGATGTTGTTGTCGAAGGTGAATTCCTTTACGATTGGKTCCGACGGCTGTGCGGTCTTGAATTCCTTTGTCGCCGTCTCATAGCCGCCTTTGCGCGCTTTCCAGTTTTTGTGTGCAAATTGATCGGGCAGCGAGAGCTGCGCAAACTCTTCTCCCTCATCCGCCATGATCAAGTGTGGTGCGTGGTCGGTGGTGTTGTGTCGTTATGCAGCCCAAAAAATCGACGGTGTTCACTTTCGATGATGCCCGTCGTCCAGGAGACGAATGATGCCCAAGTCTGCCAGGCTTCTGTGCGCTTCTATTCGGCGCGGTCCTGTGCTGTTTGGGTCCGGATCCGGTCAGGAACTGCTGTCTTGTATGCTCAATCTCGGGGGGCAAAGTATGCACTGTGACGGTAGAAACGGCGAGCATGTAAACATACGGGTGATGGGAGTGTTTGGCACGTTATTTACACCCCGCGAAGTAAATCGGTCTTCGGAAAGATCCTCACTTTCGGGCCGGGATCCTTCAGTCACTTCACTTCCACGTCTTACCCAATCTCCTTAAAGACGCGCATTCCACGACGTTGTTTTCAAACGATGCAAAGGAAAGCAGAGTCAGGCCGACAGTTGTCTTCGGAGGCGCGTCTGGCTACAGCAGTTCAGGGGAATGAACAACCTTATCATGACCATGGATTCGGGACCTTCAACCGACCCGCTGTTGCTAGTCTAATCCCCCTCAAGCTACGCAGGTGGCCTTTCTTGCCTCGCCCAAAGGCATAGACTGGCGGTTATGTCTATCGCGGAGGAGGACTGCAGATGCAGATGTAGAGACTTCCCGAAGATCATGACCCTTTCATTCATCCCTTCCATCTCAGCAGATGAGAGATGAGGTAAGGTAAGGTAGTTGATGCTTGACGTGACATGCACTCTGAACATCGCATTCGTGCAAACGCGACGCATATTTCCACCAGGAAGCGCATCGCGGCCGTGTATCAATTCCAAGAAAACATCCCGATGAAACATGGGTCGAGGTGAGCGTGCTCGTGCCCCAACATTGGATGCCCCACCTTCCCCAAATAAATTGTAGGGTCGCCATTTCCGCAACAACGGACAAGACTGCGCCGGAGTTGATACATCTCTCCATACAGGACAGATTCTCGTCAGATACACGCCATTTGTTGAGAAGAGAAGGGGCTTCTTGCATGTTGCTGATATCCCCGTTGATGCACACACCGCCATTCCCACCATCGACCGATAATTCCCACCAACATCGCATTGCTTATTACAGCTGCCGAAGACATCAGAGCGGCGCATAAAAGGGAAACCCACTCGCCAATGCCACGGTCGCGATGAGCAATCTCTTGACATCACGACAGGCGGAGGAACTGTATGCACGCGACCTTACCCCCTGTTGCACGGCAGGACACTCGCTGATCGCATCGCTGACAGCCACAAGTCCCTCATTGCATATCTGCTTTCGACCGGCCATGAAAACAGTGCCCAAGTGTTGCGCGATGACTTGAACCTGCCTGAAACCGCTTTCGACCCTACGACGGCCAAGAAGTATGAGGGCCTACTTGAGAAGAAATGGACATCTGTCGTCCGCTTGCAGAAGAAGATTATGGATTTGGAGACGAGGCAAACACAGCTACAGCAGGAGTTAGACAATGCAACGCCCACATCGCTTGCGGCGCGGAAAAATCACGATCCTGCGACTTGGCTGCCACGGCCGCCCGCTCATCATACCCTTCAGTCGCATCGTCAGCCCGTAACATGCGTAGCCTTTCACCCGCTCTTCTCGAGCTTGGCTTCTGGCAGCGAAGACTGCACCATCAAGATCTGGGACTACGAGTTAGGCGAGCTGGAGCGCACTCTCAAGTCGCATACCAAAGCCGTGTTAGATGTGGACTTTGGAGGACCCCGCGGTAATACCCTGCTGGCATCCTGCTCTTCGGACTTGACCATCAAGCTGTGGGATCCTGCGGAGGACTATAAGAACATTCGCACTCTTCCCGGTCACGATCATAGCGTGAGCTCCGTGCGGTTCATACCCTCTGGAGCAGCGGGCGCACCGATGTCGGGGAATCTCTTGGCTTCCGCCAGCCGAGACAAGACGATCAGAATCTGGGATGTCACGACTGGCTACTGTATCAACACTCTCCGGGGACATGCGGATTGGGTGCGAAGTCTTTCGCCAACATTCGACGGCCGCTTCTTGTTGTCCACATCCTCCGATCAAACGAGTCGAATGTGGGATCTCAACCAGCCAGAAAGCAATGCTCAAAAGCAGACATTTCTTGCACACGAGCACGTGGTGGAATGCTGTGCATTTGCTCCACCATCTGCATACGCTCATCTAGCAAGTCTGGCAGGCCTGAAGAAGGCGCCTTCAGCCGGCAGTAGCGCAGAATACCTTGCGACAGGCAGTCGAGACAAACTCATCAAGATCCACTCTGCCAATGGACTCTGCATCAAGACGCTCACGGGACATGACAATTGGGTTCGGAGTCTTGCATTTCACCCTGCAGGCAAATATCTCCTATCCGGTTCAGATGACAAGACAATCCGCTGTTGGGACCTATCACAAGAAGGAAAATGTGTGAGAGTGATACCTGCTGCTGATCATTTCGTGACATGCCTAAGATGGGCGCCGAGTCTGTTCAAGGAACCATCCAAGGGGGAAACCAATGGTGGCACGCAGACCAATGGAAGCAAAGGGGACGATGCAGCGAAGGAGCAGATAAGGTGTTTGGTTGCTTGTGGGAGCGTTGACTTGAATGTGAGGGTCTTCAGCGCGTAGCGAGGAGATGGCAAGGCGTTGCGGTGTTGGTAGGAGGTACCTGATTGCATAAAGCGAATCTCCATTGCTGTTGCTCGACCGAACCAAGTCGCTGCCTTTTCAAGTTCATCTCAGCTCCGTTACCGCGGGACTTGAAATGATCCGCCGATTTGACCGGCATATGAAACGGATGGCAGAGCTTGGCGTTCTTGTCTTGAGTTCTCCCTCTGCCCATACATTCGTTGTATCCATCGCAGAACGATGACCGTTCTTTCAAAGCGAGCGATTCCGCTTACAAGCTATCTGTCGAATCAGACTACCAACTCTAATAATAATTCGAATCCCCAGATCCACAACTACAAGGCTGAATTTAACATTACGCAAGATCAGCCATGCAACTTTGTGCRAATCAGACCTCGGCACATATCCCCAACGGTTCACATGCCATCGACCCAAAGACCCTGCGTCTAGAATCAAGCCTCCTGGATCCTGTTGCCATTCATTTCAATGCGACCGCACAAATTGATGGGCATTCACCCATTTTCACCCGCCGAGATGAGACGTTCCGACGGTAGAGCATTCAAATTTAATGGAACAAACAGGACCAACAGATTGACTACCTCGAGGCTCTAACGAGAGTTCTTCGAGACGAATACAGCAAGTGCTTACTGTAAACAGAGTTCGCCGCCAACTAACAGGAGATCTCACTTACTACTGTGGCGTAGTAGTCCGCAACGCACAAGGAGCACGCCACGCTACGAATGTGATCAATGTCATCCACTTCCACTCCTGGATTTGAGGAAAACACACCCTGTCAACGTCCGTCATTGGTTTCAGTCTCAGATTACCGGCATAGCACGACTCAATGACACGCTGAAAGATGCGAACACTATCACTCTTCGCGACTGCAGCGTCGCTGATTGCTGCAGTCGCGGGCGCTGGATCACGGGAACATGATGGAAGAGAATCACCAGCAAGCACAAAGCCTCTCAGGATTATGGTCGTTGGAGATTCCATTACTCACGGCCACGAAGGCGATTTCACCTGGCGTTATCACATCTGGGAATGGTTTCGGGCGAATAATGTCTCTGTTGACTTTGTCGGGCCATACAAGGGCATGTCAATTGGCCCACACGCGACTTTTCCATGAATTCTAATCGATGACAGGCASAATCGATGTTGGTCATCCCTTGCCTCCACAGCCGCCGTATGTGATTGGGGATGAAGCCCCCCCGCTATTTGGCAAGGCGCGGATTCCCTGGGGATATGCTGAAGCAGTTCCCAAAGACTTCGATTCTGATCACTTCTCAACCGGAGGCTACAAGGCTCAATTGGCTAAAGAGGTGATTCGCGATCTGGCGAAGCAGTATCAGCCCGAACTGGTTTTGTGCTTGATAGGAATCAATGACTTTAGTGTGTATTCATGCAATCCTCCGAACATTGACATGCTGACTTTGTGTTATAGTCTGGTCATTGGACTCGCCTGAAGGTGAGTGATATGAAGGCTGACCATGCCGCATCAAGCTGACGCATTGTGACTGTTTCTAGGTCTGCTGGACAGTACAAAAACTATCATAGAGGAGATTCGCGTTGTGAACCCTCGCGCAAAGTTTGCAGTTGGTAATGTATGTATTACACGCATATACATCGAGCTAGTGTTGCGATTGCGCTGACTTTACATGCAGGTTGTACACAGAGGGTTCAGGGATGCCGCGCTTGATGAAAGGACCGACAAGTTCAACCCACTACTCGCAAAAGAAATCCCTAGCTGGAGCACAAAGCAGTCACCCATTCATTATGTCGACGTAGCATCAGCATACTCTTGCGGACCTGACCATCCTCATTGCCCAGCCGCTTTCGATCAGGTGTGTATTATCAGTAGTTCCAATCTCAACAGCGGCTAATTCGCCTGCAGTTACATCCTAGCGCTCTGGGAAATTATCAAATCGCACAGGTCTTTGCACAGACTTTAAGTAAGTGCATTAAGATCGAAGCTTAGACCGGATGRCATGCTGACGTTTCTCGCAGTCGACAAATTCGACATTGGCCACGAGACTCTCCATATACCTGCCGTGATGCCCATAAATCGGGTCTTCCGAGTTCCCAAGAATTTAAAAGCCGAATCATCACCAACAGGTGTCAAGGTGACCTGGGACCACAACTACGGCATGACATCCTACAAAGTGATGTGGAGAACAGGAGTACAGCCATGGACTGAGCAGCACGTCGAGATGAATCGTTTCGATACCATCACTGAGACGGCCGGTACATTGTATCAATACAAGATTCGTGCATGCCATGGCGATCGGTGCAGCGCATTTTCTGAAGTTGTCGAGGCTGTTTCGGATCGGCACACTGCTCCCCCACCGAGGGACTTCCATATGGTCTCAGAAAATAGTCAGTTCCGGGTTTCCTGGTCACCGCCGGAGAACAGTAGTAATTGGAACATCACCATGTACGAGATCTCTATGCGGAATATGGCAGAGACCAACTGGAACTCTGTGGGATCTCGCCGGTTTTCAGAGACGATCACTGGATTCTTTGGACTCCCAAAAGGTAGCATATGGTCCGTTCGAATGGCTACGTGGACGCATCCAGAAGGCAAAGGACTGTATGCCTATACACGGCCAGTCGTGGAAGGTGGTGGAAAGCCAGAACAACCCAAGAACTTGCAGGCGAAATACACAACCCACACCTCCGCCTCTCTGACATGGAACGCTTCTGCCAACGCCGCTGCATATCTGATATACTACCGCAGCATCGGTGGTCAGCGCCCTGGACCATTCATGACGACCGGTGATATGGTCATGGGTCCCCTGCCTCAAACAACAGTCCAAGGTCTGGTTCTCGGAAGAGGAGCATTTGAATTCTGCGTGACGGCCGTGAACGGCGATGCGGAGTCGAAGGCAGAATGCGGGACTCCGGGAGCCTCGAACATGAAGTGGCATCCGGTGGATGTGTTGGGATCATTGACTATGAATTCCACATTGTGGGTTTGTGCACTGTTATTGGTTGTCATCTTTTTGCTTATGGCGCGAAGGAGACGCGGAGCCTGCTCTATTCGATAATGAACAGCAAAGGAACAGAAGGACTAGTGGAGATCTGTTGCAGGCTGAGAGTGAAATCTACGATACCGTAGGGTCAATTAAATGTAATGTAGTACGATCAATTCTCAAGGTCCTTCCTCATATATATGTATCTGATGACAGGGATCTGTCCGCTAGCGTGTGGGGTATGTTTTCCCAAGACGGAAGTCACATGCCAATGCTGAACGGGAGAGTTCTGGCTTGGCTTGGCTCACCTTATCGCTGCTCGCCTATCTACCCGACTTTGACCTCACCCTACCTTATGCTACTCATTTGCATATTCCCTACTCGACTTCACATCAGCGATGATTGAGTGAAGTCACTCGACGAAGTTTATGGGGTGACTCAATCTGACCTTCACTTCGACCACCACATACACCTCTGTCGTTACAATACCATGAAACATCAACAACACCAGCATCATCAACCATGACTCTACCAATGATTCTTCTAGCAGCTGCTATAGTAGCCCTGACGATACTGATCTACAAGTTTCTGATCTACCCAACTTGGATATCACCTCTATCCCGCTGTCCGAATGCTCATTGGTCCTCTGCGATTTCACCACTTTGGATTCTCTATCACAGACAGCAGCAAAAAGACACACCTACGGTCCATGCAGCTCATACTCGTCTGGGACCGGTGATACGACTTGCACCGAACGAGTTATCCGTCAATTTGGTTGATGGGGGTATCCGCACAATTTATAGTGGAGGGTTTGAGAAGGGAGAATGGTACGTACGGAATCTTTGAAGTGAAGTGGTGGAGGACGCCATTTGCGATATCTCTTGCCTCTTTTCAGCGTAAACAATGCTGATTTTGATTACCTCCAGGTATTCGAACGTCTTTGGGAATTATGGCGTGGAGCCCATGTTTGCTATGGAGTGCCGCACTGAACATTCCCAGCGAAAGCGTATGGTCTCCAACGTCTATGCCAAGTCGACACTTCAGAGTAGTCCTGCTCTTACTAAACAGACGGAGATCATACTTCGGGATCGACTATATCCTAGGATGAGAGGTGCCGCGCAGAGAGGCGATGTAATCGAGCTTTACGATGTCTTTTCTGCTGTGACGATGGTAAGCCGAATTCYCAAGTTTGGTTCCTCCCAGTTCTGACACAATTGCAGGATTTCGTGGCGGCTTATGTGTTTGGTATGAAGCACAGTTGCGACTTCATCACTGATGTTCCGGCTGGAGTCAAGTTCTTTGAAGACTTCAAGTCGAGACAGAGGTACACCTTTTGGCCACAGGAGTTGCCAAACTTCACCAGGTGGATGGAGCATTTGGGCCTCAAGTGGCTGCTAGTGCCAAACTGGGTGGCGTCAAGCAATTTCAGTATTGAAGATTGGGTGATGGCAATGTGCAATAAGGCTGAAGCTTCCCTCAAGAGAGGAGATCATCTGGAGCCGCAAGACACCCCTACTGTAGGTCTCACCCAGTTGTCAGGAATCGTCGCTCGTTTTACTTACATTTTCCCCCACAGGTATACGCTCAACTGAGGAGCACATTCATCAAGTCCGCGCAACAGTCGTCCGGGAAAGAAGAGTCAACCGACGACATCCTTGATGAAGTCAAACTGCACATTGCCTCCGAGTTGGTTGATCACACACTCGCTGGGTACGACACAAGCAGCATAACTCTCACTTGGATGGCATGGCAGCTCAGTCGGCCGCAGAATCTTCACTGGCAGCAGAGACTCCAGCAAGAGATCTCTACGCTTCAGGGCAGTCTCGATGCGAAGAGCATAGAGTCTCTTCCAGTACTGCATGCGGTAATGATGGAGACACTTCGTCTCCACGCTGCGATCCCTGGCAATCAACCTCGAGTCACTCCAGCTTTACCTGCCGTGACCTCACTTGGAGATCCGGAGGCGGGGATAGTCTACAAGGGGCTTCCTCCAGGCACACGAGTTCAAGCTCAGGCGTGGTCGCTGCATCGTAATCCAGAAGTCTTCCCAGAGCCAGATGAGTGGAATCCAGCTCGCTGGCTTGATGCGGGCGAAGAACAGCAGCGAGAGATGGGACGATGGTTCTGGGCGTTTGGATCCGGTGGTAGGATGTGTGTTGGATCCAATCTTGCGATGCTGGATATGAAGGCCACTATGGTGGGTCTGTGGGGTTGCTTCTCGACGGAGATCGTGGATGACAAAGGGATGGTTCCAAACGGTGGGTACATGGCGGAACCGTTGGGTGTGGGRCCACATGGCGTGATGGGCGTAGAGTTTGGCAGGAGCTTCTTGCGGTGTCGGTTGCGAGAAGTGAAGAAGATGTAGTGACGGGCAGTTTCCAGTAGAGACCAGCAGAGGGTGACTCCGGTGTCTGTTGTTATTTCAAGATCTGTCGTGCCCTCCCGCTGCACCTCCGCCACTTTTCATCCCCTCAATACTTCGGAATCTTTTCCTCYCCACGTCAACGTCAACAACATCGCCATCATCACGCCGTACCTGCTCACATTCACGCACGTCTGACCARAACAGCTGCTAATCATTGATTGTAGTTACAGTAACGCTCAGCGAGCTCGCGCTCCCAGACGGGCCAAACATCATCAAGCATTCCCGCCGGAATCCTGCATCACAAAACAAGACTGCATCAATGGCAAGGCACAATGCCTCCCGCCGTCGGCGGGAGATCAAGAACCATCAGCTCGGTGGTCTTCCTGGCTTGCGCCCGAAGGTTCTTCGCGCCACAAAGGCAATGATTCGTTACACCGCAGCAGAGCTACGAGAGATACATGCGGAGCGACCAGATGAGATGCCATGGCATGTGAACAAGATCCTAGAGATACAATACATCATCACAGGCAAGCCTGCCAGGCAGGCGAGTGCGGAAAAGCAGATCAAGGATGCCAAGCTTAAGGCCGGAGCCAGGCAACATGACCGGCCGCAGTGTCTCCAATGTGCAAAACTAGCGTATTGGGACCTCGACTTCTGCGGGAGTTGTCTGGTCGCGGAGGCAAGACCGAGGAAGCTAGAAGAGCAGGAGAGGCGAGCCAAAGAGAAGGAGAGGCGAGCTGAAGAGGAGAAGAGGCGAGCTGAAGAGAGAGTCAACCGGAGAGTCAATGTCCGGACGCTTGAGTTACTTGGCCCCACGGCTCGCGGATTCTGCTATGCCACCGGTGTGACCGCGACAATCATGCATTCGATGCTCACTCGTCACGGCAAACAATCTCGAAATCCGTCATTTCGTCAACACGACCCCTCTCAAGGCGCGGAATGATCGGGGGCCGGTAATGCAAGGAGGCCTTCAATATCCCATGGCATACTCGGGTCAAGATTACCTTCCAAGAAGAAATCCATGTCGGTGGTGTTCCACTCAAACCCTGAGGTAGCATCCAMTGGGCCTGACACTTCAAGCATGGTACTAGATTCATCTCCACTCTCCGGAGCAGATACGTTTGCGTTCAATTCAGCTGTTTCATCCGTATCTCGTAGAATCTTTGCGGCCAGCTCTGATACAAAGGCTGCCGACCAGAACATCGTCCCAAGTGACAGTAAGTGCCGATTGCTTTGGTCAAGTCGCCTCCTGGCACGATTACGGTGACTTGCAGTCTTACAGTGTTTATAGTCGCGGTACGCTGCGCTCAGTGCTAAGCTAACAGCGTACGGAACAAAGGGTAGTAAGACCAGTCTTTCCAATGTGTTTTCCTCCATGATGGAGTTGATCTGTAAGGCAGAAGAGACCTGTCGCGCATTTCGAGCCAAAAAGCCTTGTGAACTTGATCYACTCTTGTGTCTGCACGATAGTATCCCGACAGCATGGTAGAACAACTCTATAGTGCTCAGCATGTCGTCAGGCAGATTGAGAGCGCCGCACTCCGTAACGATTTCTTCGAACGTTGGGAATTCGAGATCAGGAATCTCTCTTTCTACTGCCGTAGGTCTATAGAGTGCAATTGTCTTGTCAAGTAGCATTGCGATGCGAACCAAGGCTTGAAATCCGGGACTCTGAGATTTCAAGCAATCTTGTGGGCGCTTTCCCATATCTGTTTCGTGAATAAAGATTGGACGTCCTTGAATTGCTGCGTGAAGTCTGTCGATGGACCAGATGTAGCAGAAAAGCCCGGCGACCCTTTGATCTCGGGCTTGGTCTTGTGGTAAGTGGATTCCAATCGTGTAGGCTAAGTGTACGGCGCGTACAAAGAATTGAGATGTCAGATCGATGCTTTCAGGGCCGTATGTGATGAGTGACATGGCAACCAAGGCTCGAATGACGATGGTCTTATCCTGTATGAGGGAGAGCTCGATTGTAAGCCGCATAGCTCCGACAAGCGTGCGTGCAAATTCGGCAGGGGAGCATATTCCGTCTTGACTTGGTAACCGTAGGTGCTCGGCCACAGCTGGGTTTAGGGATGCTAGAATACRAATGATCTGTTCTTGTATGATCCTTGCGGGGCTTCCCGATGGGGAATTACGATATTGGCCCGTATCAATAGCCGGTAAGATAGGATCGATATTGTCAAAGTAGAACTTCTCCAAGGCTTGAAAGTGCTCTCCAAGCGGTCGCCTATCTAAAGCCAACTCCTCGATCAAAGGTGCTAGACGCTCCTGAGCAGGCCGTGATGCAATGTGCAACAAGCTTGAGGGAGTAAACATATCGCGGCTGTCTGCCGGTTTTGATGATTGTGCATCATCATCATGCCAGACGCCAACATTGTTTCGCAGAGGTTCGTTCGGAGTGGATCCTGATAAGAGCTCGACATCTGGATTCAGGTCTCCTATGAATCGAGAATGGCCTGGTTCGCTAAGAGAAGTTGATGGTCTTTCATCAGAAGTTCGAATTCTCTTACGTGGTCGGACGGAGTCGGCAGGCTGTTCTACATAGCGGGACACCGCGGCGTCAACGATGGGCTCTGGTGCATTACTGCCATGATCATTCCCAGAAGCTTGACGGGATGATGCGAGTAATGTGTCTGGCTTATGGGTGCATCGCTTCTTCTTTCTACGACAGGCCTCGCAGGCCTGTACGGCAATACGTCTTGTGCCGTTGTCCAAGTCCTCATTATCTGGGACGAAACGTAGGGTGGTGAACAATGGCTTGTCCATGAAGATGTGAAAGTGAGAGAGTGGCAGCTCACTTGCCTGGCTTCTCAACATTGCCGCTAACCTCTTTTGGTTAGACGCGCATCGGAAGTTGCTGCCTCTCCACATCCCGCCCCTTTTCAAAACATTGCAACAACACTGGCATTTCAGAAATACTCAAGATCGCTGGCTACCAAGATTGCATTTTTGGGGAGCGAATGCAGTGGAGCCACGAGTATCATAGACCTACTTACAGTACCGCAGATCACCCCGGTCAAACTCCAGCCCTTCAGCGATCACCACTCCCGAATGCTACYATCAGGGCCATAAAACTCCTTGCACTGCCATGGCTCCGTCTCAGCAGCAATTCTCCGAATCATCTCCTCATCAATATCGATTCCCAACCCAGGCCCAGTGGGAGCTTCCACATATCCCTCCTTGATATCGAAAACGGATTGATMTTTAAGATACGTATTGAGATCGATATCTCCAGCTTCCGTATTGTAATGCATCCCAAGGGACATCTCCAGGATAACAAAGTTACTGGTTGAAAGTCCAACATGTAGTGATGCCGCGAAGGCGATTGGTCCAAGGGGACAATGCGGTGCAATGGCCACGTCGTACGCTTCCGCCATGTTTGCGAGACGCTTCGTTTCGGATACGCCGCCGGCATGTGCAATGTCGGGTTGCAAGATGTCAATGAGGCCGTCTTCGAGGAACTTTTTGACGTCCCAGCGGGTATACAATCGCTCGCCTAGGGCTATTGGAATCGATGTCATTCCGGCGAGCTGCTTTAGAGCTTCTGGGTTCTCTACAAGTATGGGTTCTTCGATGAAAAGCGGCCTGTGAGGTTCTAGAGCTTTGGCGAGCTGCTTAGCCATCGCTAAGAGACTGTTAGTGAGTGATTTGTGATTGTCAAAGACGTTGACATACGCTTGTGCAGTCTGCCGTGGAAGTCGAGCCCAACATCAAGGCCAAGAGCTTTGACCGTCTTCAGTCGTTCTACTGTTGAGTCGAGAATGGATGGTTTGTCCAGCCAGTTTACATCTTCTGTGGCGTTCATCTTCACGCAAGTCAAACCCTGGGCTTTTCGAACTTTGCTGCGCAAATTGTTAGTTGTTGCGGCGATGTGAACACTACGAGACAATACCCACGCAGCAGCTTCAACATCAGCTGGTCTATCGCCTCCGATCCAACAGTACACTTGACACTTCGATCGAACAAGTCCTCCGAGCAGTTCGTACAATGGGACATTCAATCTGCGAGCTTGACCAGAAGGTCAGTCTTGCATCTCTATACGATAGGAGAATGTCAATACCTTTAAGATCCCATAACGCTATATCGATGCCGGACAATGCAGACATGAAGACCGGGCCTCCACGATAGAACCCAAGCCGCCATATCAGCTGCCAGATATGCTCAATGTTACTTTGACATTCGTCAGCACAAAGTTTGTCGTAGCTAGAAATACGATCATTCACTTGGCTTCCAACCCAACGACTCGAACGATAATTTCATCCAGAGCTCCTTCAACAGCCAAATCATGGCCTTCAAGAGTGCCCTGGTCGATAATCAGCAAATTGAATTCTGGCAGACGGAAGGATAGCAAACACCGACCTCTCCCCATCCAACTCTTCCCTCGTCGTCCGTGATCTTAACGAAGAGCCATCGAGGCTTGACGCGGAAACGCTCAACTGACTTGATCTTAGCCATGGTCCGTGAATGTTGTGATACTTTCAATGATGTGTTCTGCAAGAAGGAGATTGGACAGGATACTTCCCATCCACTTCTTGACGTACTTCGGGTATAGCTGTTCCTCGTCGGGATGGTGCGGGAACTGTTGTGGGGCATACGCGGAGTCGCCAATACTACCTCGTCAGAGCTGTTTCCCCACTTGTGAGTGAGTGGGGGTCACATTTGGGGTACGTACCTTGTCCGCTGTATAGCAAAGCTCAACGACATAACGATGGAAGTTTGGGATCGGAATCTTGTAGAATAAGATTGTACTGCTAATTCCAAGATCTATCGCATCGTCTCTATTGTCTAAAGCGATGAATTGGAAACAAGAAGGCGCAAACACCCCCGCCCGGACATCTCTCTACAGCATATATCTGAACCCAGCAGCCTGCTGCCGCAAAGTGGGACCACTCTTCCCCATCTCCTCCCCTCGGTCCAATTTCGAATTTTGTCGACGCAAATACAGGAAACTCACAGTCGCCATACCAATCGCAACGACTGCAGCGCCGAGATTAACCGCAAAAGCAGCCACATAGCGTGGAGAATCATAGTAAAGATATGCAGTCCATACTAGATTATCGTCAATGGATGCGTGAATTCTGGAGATGTGGTGATGAGACTTACTGTTCGGCGTATTGCAAATGCAATTGATCAATGCGATTGACGCGGCGCGTTTGACTGCAGGCTGGGACAGACTGCTGGAGATCCAGGAAAGTTGGACAATGGAAGAGGAGTAGAAGGAGGCTGGCATGAGCATCATTGCAAAGTCTGTACATGCACTGTGAGTTGAAAGGTTGTTTGGGTGGGTATTTTGGCAACTTACAGCGAGCTGCAACGTTGAGTGAGGATACCGCGATGATGTTTGCTACTACTGTGATGGTGAGTGGGAGCACGATGTGCAGGTATCGCTCTTTTCTCTGTTCGGAGTTAACTTTGAGTGATGCTTCACAGAATGTCCTTGGACATTACCTTGTCGCTATCGAAGCCAACGATAAGCATGCAAATCACGCAGAGTATAAATGGCGGCTGTGGAAGTCATCAGCATCATATTACACTTTCATCCAGTGCTCCAACTCACGGCGGTGAGACCATATGATGCATTGCGGGTGAATCCTAAACCATCAACCACAGTGGGAAAGAAGTTGTTCACTGCAGCGGCCGTGTACGTCTAGGAACTCAGTCAGCGCATACAGGACGTTCATGAGTGATGGTTGATCCTACGGCATAGAGCGTTCCCATCATCAGCCACGTCTTCGGATCGTAAAACGCCATGAGAAACCCCTGTTTCGCCGTAACCTCAGACGCATTATCCTCTTGCTTCTGGTCACTCTGATAGTTCCATCGCAACCACTCATGTTCAAGATCGCTCATTCCAACAATATTGCTTGGCGAATTGGGGAGGTAGGTTGCGAAGATTAGAGCGAATCCGACAGTGGCAACGCCCTCGATGAGGAAGAGCCTATAGCAGAAAGTCAATAAAGTCAGTCTGCATTCTCAACCATACTCAATGAATGACCTACCACCGCCAACCTGCGAAACCATGCTTGCCATCAAGCTCCGTAATTCCGATTGCAAGTAGCGTACCGAAAGCATTTCCCAGCTGGCTTCCGCTGTATAGGATGGCCGTACGGAAAGCGATCTGGCGGCGATTGTAGAACATGCTAAGGTAGTAGAATGCCCCGGGGAAGAATGCCGCTTCTACGAGACCTAACATAAAGCCTGCGGAATGAGTCAAATATTGTCAACAGAACACCCCACGAGGTCATTGCACTCACGACAGGCCAGAAGACCTCCAAAGCTGTGGACGACTGCGGTGCACGCCGACACTATTCCCCACAAAGCTACAGCGGCGCAGATGTAAAGTCCCGGCCACTTGATTTTGCTCACGACGAGGTTGGAAGGGACCTGCATAAGGACTTAAGGTGCTCAGCTCGTGTCAAGTGTACAGAAGCTGACAAACTCACTATACCCAACGAACAGGATGCTGACGACAGTGTTGTATTGGGTGATGGAGAGACCTAGATCCTCATTGATTCCCGCTAGTTTGGCCGCAGCGATGTTCTGTCTGTCTGGGTCTCATCAGTCTTGGTCGTACTGTATGCCCCAGTATCTTACCAAGATAGTTTAAAATGTACATGATGACCAGGGCGGGCATGACGACAAGATCCATCTTCATCGTTGTTCTGTTCCCGAGTTTTCTGACTTCCATCTCGGACAGTCCTTGAAGGCAATCTGGGTAGTGAATGATTCCATCTTGCGGATCCTTTGGCCTGTGAAGCTCATGGTCTTCAACTCGGTCTGTAACAGACTTCGCGTCGTGCATCTCGTGAAAATGTCCAAAGTGAGGAAAGGTTATGGTGAATTGTCACAAGCGCAGGGCTTGAGACAAGGTCTCCGTCCTACTTTGTATACACACCTCCTTGCACCCGCCTCGCATCGTGGTACAGGGCGGGGTCCCCGCATTGGAGCCCCAGATGATCAATGTTTGCGTGGAGGATTGTAATGTGACCCCCACTTCTCCAACATATATCGGCAGAACCCTCTCGCGTTCAAATGTCCCGAGTGGTGGATCGACATGCTCTCAAACGCCGACGCCTGCTCTCTGCATGAAAGAAAGAGACGAACATAGTGACTGGGAGGAAAACTGGACAGATGCAATACAAGCAAATCCAATCTCCACCGAGCTTACCTTCTTTGCAAGAGCATTGCCGATTTAATTCTTTCCTAGAAGCTGTTACTTGCTAGAAATGTCTCACGTCCTCGACCTCTTCTCTCTCAACGGCCGCACAGCTCTGATAACAGGCGCAACACGAGGAATTGGACAATCTCTCGCCATAGCACTCGCAGAAGCCGGCGCCGATGTCGTCCTCATTCAGCGAGATACTTCTAATACAGCCACCAAACTTGCCATTGAAGCTCTCGGCCGAAAAGCGAGCATCTACGTCGCGGATCTGTCTTCTGCGGCAGATATAGGAGGTCTAACGAAGCGAGTCTTGGACGATGGCCACGACATTAGCATCCTGATCAACTGCGGTGGCATTCAGCGGAGGCATCCTGCGGAGGTCTTTCCGGATAGTGATTGGAATGAGGTGCTGCAGGTCAATCTGAACACGGTCTTTACGCTCTGCAGGGATGTTGGAGCGTATATGCTGACGCGAGAGGGACCACATCGCGGCTCGATTGTGAATATTGCTTCGCTGGTCTCGTTCCAGGGCGGACTGAATGTGCCTGCGTATGCGAGCGCCAAAGGTGGCGTGGCGCAGTTGACCAAGGCGCTCTCCAATCAATGGGCGGGGAATGGTATCAACGTGAATGCTGTGAGTACGCTGTGTGGTGAATGTTGAACATGGCTAATGAAGATGGTTAGATCGCTCCGGGTTACATCCACACAGATATGAATGAGGCCTTGATCAAGGATGAGAAGCGTGCGGCCAGCATCCTTGAGCGTATCCCAGCGAACAGATGGGGAGTGCCGGATGATTTCAAGGGATCGGTGGTATACCTTGCCAGTAAGGCTAGTTTATACGTGTCGGGCGAGATCTTGACGGTTGATGGAGGATGGATGGGCAGGTGATTTGGTGGGATGAAGTGGCGTGGTCATGTCATTTCTTGTTGCTGCATTGCTCCTGCTCTCTCGGCAATTTTCACAAGACGTTGTTGAACAGGGAGACGTGACGAGTTTTGTAAGACATGAATAATGGATGGGAATAATTCACGTGTTCAATCAAGGAGAGAATTCGAGATGCGACGGAAGGAACAGGGATGCATATTTAGAGTTTGAGGATTATGTCAGTGTCCGTTCGCTTGTGCAATGCGCGTTGCGACACGAACAGCGCCATCAACATCAACGCCATCACTCATTGCATCCATTGAATAACACCAGTTGGGCCAYGCTCACTAAAAACATTCATTAAGCCCAAGATGACGGACTACAGCAAGCTGAAGGTGGCCGAGCTCAAGGAGCTGGTCAAAGAACGCGGGATTGTCGCGCCGGGCCTGAAGTTGAAGCAACAATTCATCGATGCCCTCACCGCGGCCGACGATGGAACTACTGGGGAGGAGGCTGAGACGGAGCAGGCTCAGGACGAGATGGTGGTGGACGGTGGAGAAGCGGCAGGAAACGTAGAGACACAGGAGGAGGTCAAGGAAGTGCAGGCAGCGGCAAAGGTTGAAGAAGCAGACACCGCGGCAGTGGAAAACGGCAACGGTACGGCCGTGGAAGAAGTGGACGATTCCAAGCCTGAAGGTGATGCGCCAGTAGATGACAAGGCGGATGAGCCTATGAACGACGTGCCAGAAACCGATCACAAGCAGGAACAGGAACAGGAACCGGAACCAGAGGCAGAAGCAGATGCTGAAAGCAACAAGCGGAAACGTCGAAGTCCAACGCCGCCATTGCGCGAGGAGAGTGTCAGCAAGAAGATCAAGACAGCACAGGACGAGCCTGCAATGCCCGACACCAGCAGAGACGACATGGACGTTGAGAAAGATGAAGGTGCGGAAGACGCACGCACAAAGACGCTCTCTTCTCAACCAACAGAAGACGCATTCATGTCAGATGTGACCTCGACCGCACCTTCGCAGCACTCCGCCACCCGCGCACTCTACGTCAGGAATCTGGTTCGGCCGCTTCAGCCAAACGTTCTCCGTGAACATCTGCTCGCAGTCGCCTCGCCGCCAAGCTCAGACATTGATGCCTCCACTGTTGAAGAGTTCCACCTCGATAAGCTGCGGAGTCATGCCCTGGTCCTGTTCTCCTCCATTTCCGCCGCCTCTCGCGCCAGATCGGCCCTGCACGATCAAGTCTGGCCTCCAGAGCCTATGCGGAAACCCCTCTTCGCAGACTTTTTCCCAGATGAAAAGTTCCAAGAATGGGTCGACTTGGAGACCAGCCGCGAGAGAGACAACCTTAGATGGGAGGTCACCTATACTCCTGCCACAACGGAAGACGGCAGCCACACGGTTACCGCTTCTCTACAGGAAGTGTCTGCGACTCGTCAGCCAACACATAATCAAATGCGGAATGATGGGCCGACACCAACCGGTCCACGCGCCTCACTCGCGGGCGAAGGCATGCCAAATGCTCCGAGCGGACCCAGAACCGCTCCGACACCACAACCTCAAATCCCAGAACCAACTCAGAGTAAATCATTTACGACGCTCGATGCGAGCTATAAGTTCTCAGAGACCAAGCCGAAACTTTACTGGCAGCCTGTGGACCCGGAGCTAGTTGCGAAGCGTCTGGAAGAGCTTGAGAGAGGAACTTCTGAAGCTTGGGATGGCAACATGGCAACTGGAGAGTTGCGCCGGTATACATTCGAAGACGGTGACAAGATCGTCGACGGAGGCGTAGACTGGGGTAAATTTGGCGGTGGAGGTCATCATGCAGGACCACCCCCACGCCGAGGAGGTGGAAGGGACTTTGGCGGGCGCGGACGCAGAGGTGGCGGTGGTGGCTATCGCGGTGGAGGTGGATATGGCGGTGGAGGCGGCGGAGGTTACCGGGGCGATACATACAGAGGGGGAGGTGCCCCTGCAAGGTGGTAGACTGGCGGCAACCGAGCTCGATGTTTCATTCCGCTAGGCTCCGGGCGGGGCCGTTTGCCAATGCGCTGGAGTAGATCACTACTTGAAGAAGTCCAATGGAGCCGGCCGCCTGTGTATTCGCGGAACGGCTCCTTTTATGCATAGTCTCAGCGCCCCGTCGCTTGAGTTCGCCACTGGATGGTTGGGTCCCGAAGCTGAGCTTGCGCAGCCAATTTCAACTGCCACACTCAACTTGCACATAACTGCTCCAGCAGCCAATTCTCCTGCCGTTTCACCAAGTACGATTCTCAGAACTGTCAGTATAAGTGTTGTACGACAGAAGCGAAGATTTGAAGGAAAAGAGTTCTTCTTGGGAGTCGTTCGAGTGTACCATTGAAAATGCTTTGCATGTCTAGAACCGCTGATGATCCTTGGTAGAGGAAGGAGTGGTGGTGTGACCGTGTGTTACAGCTGTTCTTACTTCATTAAGGACTCTGTACATTGCATCAACATGCACACATCATCCACTATCCACTATCCACAACCATCTCGTTTCATCTGATCTCAAGATCGCTTGGCAAGAAGCGCAATACCCAGGCAGAGCTTTAGTGCGTGCTTGCTGGAAACATCGGCTCAAAGGACCATCTTTGTCGGCCCACCTTAGGCTGGATTACTAGTACTGACGAGCATTCGACATCGGAACACTCGGCTTATGAATCCTCATCTACCAAATCGACAACACAATCCAGACCATGGCGGTCATTCCAACCAAGACTCCTCCCCTGACAATGCTTTCCGTACCGGCCGAATTGTACGCAGCAACAAGACATTTCTCTTCCCTCCAAAACGGTTCCGCAGCAAGAATAGCGAAGCTCCTTATGCTATACGGCGCTCGAAAGCATTCTCCACCCTCCGCACTTTGACAATTCCATGCAAACCACGGCTGCATCGATAGTGGAATACCATCTCGGTTCTGCTGGAGGCAGTTGCGACCGTTGTAGATGTTGAATTGTACTGGAGCATTCAGGCCCTCGTCTACATCTCCAGTCCCGTTGATCTGCTGATACCATACCCGAGAGTAATTGTTCTGGATGTTGTATGAATCGAGATTCAGCAGTACCCAGTCTAGGTCAGTGCCCGAATATATGTTCGAGCCCTGCGAAACGCTGCCATTGGTGAGGCTAGTGTTGGATGCAAAAAGCTCGTCCAGATTGAAGCAAACAAATGCTCTCGGTACGCTGGAGGAGGTGAAGGTGATGCCCTCAGCGGAGTCCTTGTTGACACAGTCGTCGAGGTTGTCATTGGAGAACGTTATGGTGAGGTTCGTGCTGCTTGAGAGTTGCATAAGCAACATGTTACCACTACAATCAGAGTCTCCTACCTGAAATGTGATTGAGCATGACTCGTGAAGGCCAGCAGGTGCAGAAGGAACAATGCAATGGAGGTTTGTCGCACATACAACATGGCTGCCGGTGAATGATGGTGGCATAAGTTCGTTTCCGATAACTCTGGACGATGTGCCTMAGTGGCGACCTCTTTATGAGGTGTTTCCCACACTGCATCCTACTTGGCATGACGCAGCGATATTCCCGACTCTGGACAGGAGGTACTCCCAGGAGAAGACTGGGGTTACCACAGTGTTGGGTATGCGGCACAGGCAATGACGAATATATACATACTGCCAAGAAGTCAACCGCCCCGCTCCGCCCCGCCGCCCCGCCACGCCAAGAGCAATGTGTCAGAGATCCAATACTTCGAGGCCGTTTGGTCGCTTCTTACGACGAAGCGATGCAGAATTGCGTTCACGGACTTTCCAGGTGGGGAAGAGAACACACCAGCGGTTGCAGTTTCCGGCACTGCCCTGGCAAACCTCCTCCTTCTCAGTGCAGATTGGTAGGGATTACAATGCAGGGAAACATTACTGGAAACACCCTGGATATCACATCTACCCACTATCAAAGCTACAGAAACAGCAGAAACGACTGTAGTACCTCGTCCATGGCAGGTCCCGGATCATCCTGCCAACCTTGAAGCCTGCTCCGAGCCCTGTCTGCGGCGCAGCTGGACGAGACCCGATTCCCTTCTTCTTCTTTAACTGGCACCTCTGCATTCTCCACTCATGATTTCTCAGGGCTCGTCGGGGCTGGAACTTCCCCTGCAGACGAGTCGCGGCGCTGGACTTTGATCTTCGGGAAAACAATATCCTGTGCAAGCCTCCCCCGTGTTGTCGCGACCTTCTGCACTCTCTGTTAGGATACAGCCGCGCTCACAGGAGTTACTGTGCCGCCGTTAGTGATCATACAGAATCCCATTGAGCACGACGACTCACTCTGTGCCCGTGTTTTGGCCATAACTCTGACCCTCCTTTCCTCCTACTCCTTCGACACAGGACTGCAGGTCATTCTGTCTGCTCTTAATACCAGGAAAAGCCATGGTCAGAGCCGCAAGGAGCGAGATAGCTGCAAGTGTCGCTCTCATGGTGGCGTGGTGGGACTTCGTGAGAAATGAAGTTGATGGCAAGATCAGATTGCTCGGGAACAGCTTGCACTTATAAGCTCGTCCCGAGTTCTCATCGTTCATTTGGTTGCCTGGCCTGATTTGTTGTTGGCCGTGCCCTTTATGCTCGTCATAAATACCCACCATGTCTTGGCGGACTTGCTGTGCCATACCAAGACCATGAAGCACAATGGAACCGCCCTGTTCTTGATCACGCTGGTTCAACAACTTCACTGCGTGCGGCTCAGCACAATCCCTGCAGGCCATGTCAGCCTCGTGAAGTGGATCAGAGCCCACACTCTGGACGCCATCGGAGTCACATCGACAGATATGCGCTCGAGACAGGCTCGAACCGAGATGTGGGTATGAGCGATTTAACCCGCAACGTCTGGATATGTTGTCATTGTACGAACCATTGGCTACCCAGGCCCGCGTCTTTGCAACTGTGCCGTGAAGTTATGGAGCCCGACACTCAACGTGATGATGAGGTGACGATGCAACAGAAGGCCATGGTGGAGGAATGACGTGTATTCCTTCAGTCAAGGGCTAATCAAAAAGTTATGGGGCTCGATGAGGCCCTGGCAACAATCGATCGCAGGCGGCGTTCCGATGGCGATGAGGCACGGTGCTAAATTGCCATGCAGACAGTTCTTCGTTCTTTGCTCGGCGAGGCTCTGGGTATCGACCGGTGGTCAAGTCGTGAATTCAATGGCTTTAAAGGCAGCACTTTCCCCCATTCGAGCATCAACTCATCACACTGAAAACTCAAAGCGCCTTTCATCACACGAATCCATTGTTCACCTGACTCTACCCTGCTACTATGTCAAACGTTAACGCTGCCATTGGTCTAGTTAGCGGCGTCCTGACGATTACTGAGTTCTTCAAGAGCAACTTCGTCGGCATTGACCCAAAAGGCGCCAAGGTTTCCATAAAAGCCGGTCTGGGCCTGGTTACTGACTCTACCGATGACTGGGTAAAGCCTTCATGGCGCTCCTTTAGTCGAAAAGCTCTAACGAGAAGCAGGGAGGGAGAATTTCGGCAGTCCATGCGTATAACAACGGCAACGAGTACCTTGGCGAGTCTGATAGTGTTAGGATTGCAGACGGAGGCTTCGAGTCTGTCATTGTCGACCAGACAGGAGGAGGTGGACAGCCAGGGTTCATCAGCCTTGCCAACGCTAACGATGCTACTTGCGTACAGTGGGTCACTGTTGAGGCCAGAGACCTGCAGAAAGAAGGCGCATGGACTGGTGACATTGGCGAAGCGTGCGGCCAAAGGACATTCTATGGAATTGAGAGAGCTGGAACTCTTCCTAACGGGGATGACTGGATTCCGTTCTGTAAGCACACCGCGTGGCGACTGATTTAATATGGACAACCCACTGAATGTGAAACAGGCACCTGGCTCGATGCTGATGGCACCGACGGCACCCCAAGCGCGGCGATGAAATTTAGAGTCGATGCCTACGGTGAGGATCCTCAAGGCACACTTGACAGCGGCAACGGCTGCGCTTCTACGCTTTGGGGTCCAGACCAAGCTCCCATCGCAGGTTCGTGCTCCACAGACACAATAACCTCGCCAACGAAGCTAACACGACTGTCAATTATAGCTGCTCCCGCGAAGAGGGAGACACACGCGCGCCCACTTTCGCTAATTGAGACGTTGATCATGTCTGATATCCGCAACCAAACGGCAGAGTGGCTTTGTTCCCAGGCCCATACTTGGGGACCCGATTTCGTCGGTGTCGATGGCAAGTTCTGTGATATGGGAATCAAGCAACTTTCGCCTCTGTGCTCCACCGAGGACATTGAAGGCTGTGTCGACATTGCCGAGAACGGCAAAGCTGTCTTGAAGCGGTCTAACGTTGCGAGGCGTGAAGTCCACACCATTCACAAGACTTATAAGCGGGTGGCACACAACCATTAAGGGGTTTTGCCGGTCCAGATGGGAAGCTTGGGAGATCTTTTAGAGACATTTTGGTTACGGGAAAGAGTCCATGCATCAGTCGGTTCTCGGCGGCTTGATCCTGATCAGATCTCTGTGGTGGATTGTATGTTGGAAGAAACACCTTGTTGCTACTTGTACGATGATGTCGACTTATAGTACTCCAGACACTAGCATATGACTACCCGATCCCGATCCCCACTTCGGCTAAAAGGATAAGCATTCTACCAACCTCCACCATGCGTCCAAGTATAAACAACAACAACACCCAGTTACCTGAAAACCACTCGCACAATGACCCCCTCAGAAATATGCCACCAAATCTCACAACCCTCCCGAAAGTCCCTCCTCCACCAAATCCTATCCGAATACAGCCGTAAAATCCGCCTAGACAACTCCGCCCAAATCCTAACAAGCAATCCCGAAATCGCAGAAACAATAGCCCAATGGATCCAAGACAAAAACCTCGACCCCTTAAACAGCATCACAGCCGTAGTAGGGGGAGGAAGATCCCCAGAAGAAGAAATCGACCTACAAAAAAATCTCGATCCGGGACTTGTGAAAACTTTTTCGATTTCTGTGGTAAAGACACCCAAGACTACTGATAATATTTACACGCACGCTTTCTCGCATGTTGGTGGTGTTTATAATCGATTTGATGCGCTCTGGGCGTTGAAGAGGTGTTTTTATGCGTTGATTCCTAAGGGGGTGGCGATTGTTACGCTGATGATTCGGAATCCTGTTGAGAGGGTTGTGGGGGAGGTTTTAGCGGGTGGGGTGCTAGGAGGGGAGGAGGAGGTGGTTGGGGAGGAGGAGTTGATGAGGCTTGCTGAGGAGGCGACTTTTGAACGGGGTAAAGTTCGTTTGACAAGGAGGGAGGTGGTTATTGGGGGTGAGGAGTTGGAGAGGCTTAGGGAGGGGTTGTTGGAGAGGGTTGAAAGTTTGATGGAGAAGCCGGATGGGTGGAGGGAGACTTTTGAAAAGGTTTGGGAAAGGGAGACGAAGGGGACGGGTGAGTTGGTTTTTGAGGCGTGGCTTGTGGTTGCGATGAGGTGGGATTTGTTATGTGCTTGAAGAGCGCTTGGAATCTAACATTACTCCCGTCTCATTCTATACCTGCTCTTCTGCTGACCTGTGTGGGCCGTAAGAAGGGCTGCCTCCCAGGGAGCCCAACAGATCGCCTACATAATTTTCGGGTTGAAGACCATCTTCAAAAGTCGARGCCCATTGCTCTAGGATTTCATCCACAATCACCTGTCCGACAGAAAAGAGATTCCTAATCGCGGGCTCGAATCCTCCATGATCCATTATAAACGGTACTGTGGGTAGGTGGTCGTCAGAATAAGGTCGATCAAAGTTTGAGCCAGATCTCATCAATATGATACGGGAGAAGTCGAGTCGCTCGTCCAAAGCACCTCTAAGGAGCGCAGCCAAAGTTGCAGTGTCTTCTAGCGCAGTCATACAATAGTCTGCCTGGCCGTCAGTGTAGAGTCTAGCGATGCGATCTGCCGCTTCGCCCATCAATTTGCCATGAAAGAATGCGTTGGACGCTGCAGTATCTCCGAGAATGACACCAGGGCCCTGTCGAGCCGCATTGGAGGAATACATGGCTCGATGTGCCACTGCTCGCTCGGAATCCACCAGCTTTGCCCTCTGCGCAACTTCGAACATCCGTCTGCGCAATGTGTCATTTAGCYCGAAAACCTCAGATCCATAGATTGTTGATGGATACCCGTCCAGAGTCTTCGCACCCATAGGCACGAAGCCAGATGGCCATTGCTGTGGGATCTCGCGTGCATCATATTGCATCTGTAGATCCGTCTGGAAGGCAAACTTTGATAAAGCAATACTGCCAATAGTTGCCTTTTGTGGATTCACTCCTGCGATGCCCGCGATCAAGAAATGTGTCTTGGACAAGTCGAATTCTGCACAGTTTACCAGCGCAGACATTGAAAGTGCAGCCATTTACCACTAGGGAATGGTCAACAGGTAGTAGCCGGCGCTCGGCATCGGATTTGACTGACGCGCCATGCCAGTGATTACAAGACAGACATCTCCAGAGGCGGTACAATAGATCTCTTTATACTTCAGACTCAGGCCTGGGATGGATACTTTGCGCTCAAACTTGATGTTGCTGCTCTTTGACAGCCATAGACTCGCTTCGCGGTGGAACTGTACAATGTCAAGTACTTGATGGTGGATTGCATGGTTCAGTYACTTCGGTGGATCATACCATCGTTATAATCATCACTTTAGGCTTGAGAGGCGTTTCCATGTCTCTATGCGCCTGCTCTTGCCCGTCATGAACGCCGGTCTGCATGATCTCCGATATGTGGAGACTAATGCTGACGGGACAATACGAGGCTACAGGGGTGAGTGAGCTGTACGGCTTGTGTCGGGTGAATTCGACGTGCTCAGAGAAGCTTGTACTGTATGCGTATGGAGGAACCGATTCGCTCGGGCTGTCGGATGACAGGCTTAATGGAGTGATGTAGAAGATGTAGGAGGCAACCTGTACCTACAGTAGTATGTACAGTAGTAAGACGTGCAGATGTGCAGGCCATGCTGTCGGGGGCTCCCGCGGTCTAGATCTTCAACCGGCGCTTAGATTTACAAGGTATAATCTTGCGTGCGCTGACAGTCGGGGCGCTCGGCGCTCGCTCCGTACACCTTTTCAACACGGAGTCTTCTCCTCCGCTGAGATCCAATACGAAGCAGGATATCCGATGAGGAGCCGATGAGGAAGGAAGCGCACGAACACGATGAGCAAACATGTGCATATACAGTATTTAGGTAACTTTCCCGCTATATGTGAGGTTCCAGAAGAGCCGTTGGTGAATGGTGATCCTCCCAAACCTAGAGTCAAGCCCGGAGGAGCTTGTCAAATCTTGTTTCGTTTCAAGAGTCCCAAACTTCAAAGGTTCCAAACTCTGGTCGTGGCGGGCGGGCGGAGTTGCTCATCCCAGTCCTTGAAATATCGACATCGCGAATCCATGGAGGAAACTCCGTAAACGCGTAACGGGCCGATGAATTAGAGACGATGTTGCGAGCAACGTCACCAAAGATAGAGCCAATCTCAAGGCCCAATTGGTGGTGACGGTGACGGGTGCCACTCGGCCGGCTCTACGCGAACCAAACCAAACCAACTTTTTCCAAACAGATTCAGGAACGAGCGAGGGAAGCGCTACGGCGCGTTTTTAAGAACAACTCTGCAACAATCCTTTTAGGCGATAGTGCGACGCTAGCATTATAGGGTATTAGAACCTCGGTAATTAAAGGTGTATTCCGTATAATAAGTAACAAGTAGCGTAATTTAATATGCGCGTRTAATGTCCTCGCTTTCCTTCTTTAAAGTAATTTTATTTAAGTCTACGATACCTAAGTAATAATAGTAAGGATAAAGTAAAGGTATAATAGTATTACGCGRGTAGCTATATAACTCTYTATATAAGTAAGTAAGATCTCTAAAAGAGTARTAGGATAAAGACCTACTACTCTTTTAGYRACTCTTATTAATACCTAAATACTAATATTAATACCTACTACTCCTACTACTATACTACCCCTTTACTACTTACTTATATCCTCCTCCCTTCTCTATACTACCTATATAAAAGCCTAAGAAGGCGAAGAAGCCTAAATTACTATACTTATAGCTAAGTTATATCGATACTACGAAATACTAGAAGGAAGGAACTTTCTCTAAGAATCCGGATAATAATAGCGAATACGGATATTTTAAGTAGAACTTTATAAGAGTATAAGCTAGGAATTTAACACTTTAAGAGTAGCGCTAACCCGTATAATAGCTTAAAAAAATAGGATTCTCCCTTAACCGCGAGTAGAGGGAGATAATAGCTAAGCCTACTACTAAGTATATCGAGATCTATAATAGCTTTACTAATAGGATCGATAACATCCGAAACCGTCCGAACTATATCGACGCCTTTCTAGTTATAAGCCGGTCTATATAATCCTATTAGAGAATTATTAAAATATAATAGCTAATAATATCGTAGTAGAATAATATTAACTAAGGAGGAGTATTATAGAGATTATAAGAAGCGGAAGGACTATAATAGTAATATAATTAAAGGTCTAGGGCTATTTCTAGTATATTTCCTACCCGTATAAAGGTGTTCGACGCTAACGAGAATAGCGCTGCATAATCTAGCGTAGATATTTAAACTTAGCCTATAGTAACTATATCTAGTAGGGAACTAAGAGTACCTACTAGTATAGCGATAGGATAGCTAGCGAGAGAGTCTATTAGAAGAGGCTAAAGGTATATAATAGTAGACTAAAGAACATATACTAGCGACTTAAGTACGGAATAATTATAAGTATAGCTACGGATAATTAGTTAAAGGGTCTACGTTTAGGAAAGAATAAGTAATCTCGTAGGTCTCGAAGTAAGTCTTAAAGTCGGAAGGGATAAGGTATAGAGAATTAGTGCTCTTCTTTCTTCTATATAATCTCGATTTTAGCTATTACGAGTTCGTAATAGGAGCTTAGTATAATATTATAGTAATATTATAGTTCCTTCCTAAATAGGAAAGTTTTTACTCTTTTTATTAAATTATATATTCTATTATCTACTTTACTCGCGGACTATTATACTAGCTACTTTTATAGCAGGATAAATACCTACTACTCTTTAAGCGACTCTTATCTAAATGCATATAAAGGAGAGGTACTAAAGAGTAAGGTATAATAAAAGTAAAAGCGTAATAAGGCAGATACGTAGGCAGCCTTCTAACTCTTTATATAGGTAATTTAGATCTTTAAAAGAGTAGTAGGATAAATACCTGCTATTCTTTTAGCGACTCTTATTAATACCTAAATACTAATATTAATACCTACTACTYCTACTACTATACTACCYCTTTACTACCTACCTATATCCTCCTCCCTCCTCCTACTCCCCTATATAAACACCTACTACCTTAACGACCGCGAGAATAACTACTAGATCGGCCTTTAACCTACTTTTAATCGATAGAGGTCCTATTAGAGGAAGAAGAATTATCGACGTAAGGGTAGATAGAGTAGGAGCTAGGAATTTAATATTCTAAGAGTAGTACTAACCCGTATAATAGCTCGAGTAAGTAGGATTTACTATTAATAAGGAGTAAGAAGGAGCTAATAGAGTTAAAGGCTAGCCGTCGCTTCCTAACTTAAGATCTAATATTCGATCTAGCTATTAAAATCTATAACCGTTACTCCTACGTTAACGCTTTATTAATTTAGAGCCGGTCTATATAATCCTATTAGAGAATTGTCGAAGTATACCGGCTAATAATATCGTAGTAGAACGGTATACCCCGACGAGAGAGTAGTAGATAGTAATAGAGAAGAAATAGGAACGGATAAGCGGTACGAGCGGTATTAGAATAGTAATAAGAACTTCTAGGTATGTTTCCTACCCGTATAAAGGTATACGATACTAACGGGAATAGAGCTACATAATCTAGAAGAAGAACTTCTATAATATCTATAGTAACTACAAGTTTTATAATTAGGCTTATAGCTACGACCGTAGGGACTTACTTAATCGCTAGGATAGAGATTAGATACGGCCGAAGCGTAGTATATCGTAGATAACGAGGTCTAGGCGTACTAGTAGTCGCTAGAGAATAGGGATAGTAGAGTACTAGTAATAGGGCTTAATTAGAGTAGAGGGTAGTTTTTAGAGAGATAATTAGGGCGTTAAGGGTATCTAGAGGAGGAGGGAATCTCTTTTAAGTTCTTTATACTAGCGGCTTTAAGCGTTAGGAGTTTCTAATAGGTTACGAGGGCCTTAATTATAGTACTTAAAAACTACTTTTAAAATATATTTTCTATTTTATAATTACTTGCTTCTATACCTAAAATATAACTCCTCCTTACTTTATACGTTCGTATAATTTGTCCCTATAAATATCCTACGATTTATATTACTATCGCTCTATATTAAAGAAATATACTACCCTAACCCTAATCCTATAGTTTTTAGTAAAGTTTTCGCTAAGGTTTATAACCTCTTACTACGCTAATTCCTTTCCCGTCTACCCTCTACCCTATTATACGCACATTCTATATAATAGGCCGCTCCCCTTCTATCCCCCCTAATCTTTATCTAAAAGTCGTTAAACTCTAGAATAATAATACGAGTATTACCGACATTTAAACCTTCCTCTATTTATAATAGCTATATACCTCCGAACGGACTATCTATATAATCGTCGTAGAGAACGGTAGCGAACCCCGATAGTCGTTACAGAATAGTCTTTATAATAATCCCCTCCTTCGTATCCGAATAGCCGAACTCTTCTACCTCGAAGCTCTACTAGATRCGTATATCGTAGACAAATTAAACGAGGAGGGATTTGCAATTAAGTACTATACCTTTATATAGCTTCGGCGGAGTATAGGTATTAAAAAACGACTAAGAGAAGGAGAGTTCCTTAAGCGTTAAGAGGAATATAAAAAGATTATAAAGAAGGAGATTAATCGCTCGAACCTTAGAGTATATAGAATAATATTGCTATAAACACACTTCCGTATAACTAATCGTATACGGCTTACGCTTAGTAGGTTAGTATATTTATACGATATACATCTATAGGGTAGAAAGGGGTTTGCTAATATACTACTATATCGTAGGAAGCGACTATACGAGATAGCCCGCGAGGTCTATCCCGCTAGCCNCGAGATAGCCCGCGAGGTCTATCCCGCTAGCCTATATAATAGGGCTACGAAGTTTATACGTCGCCGTAGGAAGTATATTACGCCTAGCCCTAATAGAGTCTAGAGTATAGATATATACTATAAACTTAAGGACTATAGCTTTTAGATCTATGCTGCTATTAATACAGATATACGGTTTATTTTATATACCTATCTTAGACCCTCTACCCGTATAATAGTGTCTATACTATCTAACTTTACGAAAGCTTATAAAAAGCTTACGAGAGTACCTCGTATTATTCGGACAGATAAGAGTAAAGAGATACTCCTTATAGCGCAGGCTTAATACTAATACGTAAGAATTATTCGTAGGCGTAAAGTACGCTTTCGCCGCTACTTTATATTTAGAACAAGTACTACTAATGTCCGTATCGAGGTATAGTAGAGCTAGCTTATACGAGGAAGGTTTAAGGCATAGTATATAAGTATATAGAGCATATTATCTATATATGCTTTAGTAACGCTCCCGTTATATCCGAATCTAATTATACGGGTTAGGCTAATTAATCTTAATATTATAGGGCTTCTTTGTAATATTAAAGAAGAAGGAGTAGTTTTATAAAGCAAAGAAGGCTAACCGCATTATTATAA